CCTATGAGGTGAAAAGATCACCCTTTTCTTATGAGGTGTAAGGACCTCCCACCTCCTATGAGGTGTACGGACCAACCTTTTCCTATCTTTTCTTATGAGGTGTACGGACCAACCTTTTCCTATCTTTTCTTATGAGGTGTAAGGACCGCCCTCTTCCTATGAGGTGTAAGGACCGTCCTTCTCCTATTGAGTGTTAGGACTTCCCTTTTCTTATGAGGTGTAAGGATCACCCTTTTCTTATGAGGTGTAAGGACCGCCCTCTTCCTATGAGGTGTAAGGACCTCCCTCCTCCTATGAGGTGTACGGACCAACCTTTTCCTATCTTTTCTTATGAGGTGTAAGGACCTCCCTCCTCCTATGAGGTGTACGGACCAACCTTTTCCTATCTTTTCCTATGAGGTGTAAGGAACGCCCTCTTCCTATGAGGTGTAAGGATCACCCTTTTCTTATGAGGTGTAAGGACCGCCCTCTTCCTATGAGGTGTAAGGACCTCCCTCCTCCTATGAGGTGTTAGGACCCCAGCCCCCCTTTTCTTATGAGGTGTAAGGACCGCCCTCTTCCAATGAGGTGTAAGGACCTCGCTCCTCCTATGAGTTGTACGGACCAACCTTTTCCTATCTTTTCTTATGAGGTGTAAGGACCGCCCTCTTCCTATGAGGTGTAAGGATCACCCTTTTCTTATGAGGTGTAAGGACCGCCCTCTTCCTATGAGGTGTAAGGATCACCCTTTTCTTATGAGGTGTAAGGACCGCCCTCTTCCTATGAGGTGTAAGGACCTCCCTCCTCCTATGAGGTGTTAGGACCCCAGCCCCCCTTTTCTTATGAGGTGTAAGAACCACTCTTTTTCTATAATGTGTCATAGATAAGTCAAACCGCAATTTTCTCAAGCTATATATTTTTGATAGGTTGCAGAACTAAAACGATATTATTACCATAGGAACAATCAATTGACTGAAAACCTGGTTGACATCCATCAATACATTCTCCTGTTTTACTGTTACAGTTTAAATTATCATTACATTTTCTATCTGAACATTTCTTACTGCAGCCTGTTCCATACAAACCAGTCGCACATTCTAAAAACAAATTCTGAACATTGAGCACCATATGTTCCCTTCGTACAAGCTAGAGAATATATAAGGCTTAGTTTTGTCACTTCAGGTTTGTGTTGTTCTCATGGTAAGGTTTAAGTCAAGGTCTACTTAACGAGTTTTGTACAAAAAGCGGTAAACTCAAAAAAATAGGCAGAATGAACTTTTCAATAGTTAATAAAAAAAACTCTATATTACCTTGAGTACAATCTAGAATTGTTGGACTATAACCCACAGAACATCCACCAATACATTCTCCTGTCACATGATCACACGTTGAATTCTTCAGACATTTTCTATTATTACAATTCTTCTGACAACCAGCACCATAGAAACCATCAGGACATTCTGATATTAAAAAGAAACGTATAATGTTGTTGTATATCAATGAATTCTATCACATGAATTTGATGATTACTTTGCAAGCTGAGGAATATTCTGGATTACTGGTTTACTTACCTACTGTACAATCATCTTCTTTATAACCTGGTTTACTTACGCACTGTACAATCATCTTCTATATAACCTGGTTTACTTACCTACTGTACAATCATCTTCTTTATAACCTGGTTTACTTACCTACTGTACAATCATCTACTCTATGACCTGGTTTATTTACCTACTGTACAATCATCTACTATATAATCTGGTTTACTTACCTACTGTACAATCATCTACTCTATAACCTGGTTTATTTACCTACTGTACAATCATCTTCTCTTTAACCTGGTTTACTTACCTTCTGTACAGTTATCTACTATATAATCTGGTTTACTTACCTACTGTTCAATCATCTTTTCTATAACCTGGTTTACTTACATACTGTACAATCATATTCTTTATAACCTGGTTTACTTACCTACTGTACAATCACCTTCTTTATAACCTGGTTAAATTATCCACTGTACAGTCATTTCCCCTATAACCTGGTTTACTTAACTAGTGTACAATCATTTTCTTTATTACCTAGTTTACTTACCTATAGTACAATCGTCAACTCTATAACCTGGTTTATTTACCTACTGTACAATCATCTTCTCTATAACCTGGTTTACTTACCTACTATACAATCATTTTCTTTATAACCTGGTTTACTTACCCACTGTACAGTTTTTTTCCTTTATAACCTGGTTTACTTACCTACTGTTCAATCATCTTCTCTATAACCTGGTTTACTTACTTACTGTACAATCATCTACTGTTTTATCATCTTCTCTATAACCTGGTTTACTGGTTTACTTACTTACTGTACAATCATCTTTTTTATTACCTGGTTTACTTACCTACAGTACAATCATCTCTCTATAACCTGGTTTACTTACCTACAGTACAATCATCTCTCTATAACCTGGTTTACTTACCTACTGTACAAGCATCTTCTTTATAACCTAGTTTACTTACCTATAGTACAATCGTCAACTCTATAACCTGGTTTATTTACCTACTGTACAATTATCTTCTCTATAACCTGGTTTACCTACCTACTGTACAATTATCATCCTTATAACCTGGTTTACTTACCCACTGTACAGTTTTTTCCTTTATAACCTGGTTTACTTACCTACTGTTCAATCATCTTCTCTATAACCTGGTTTACTGGTTTACTTACTTACTGTACAATCATCTTTTTTATTACCTGGTTTACTTACCTACAGTACAATTATCTCTCTATAACCTGGTTTAGTTACCTACTGTACAATCATCTTCTTTATAACCTGGTTGGCTTACTTACCTACTGTACAATCATTTTCTTTATAACCTGGTTTACTTACCCACTGTACAGTTTTTTTCCTTTATAACCTGGTTTACTTACCTACTGTACAATCATCTTCTCTATAACCTGGTTTACTTACCTAATGTACAATCATCTTCTCTATAACCTGGTTTACTTACCAACTGTACAATCATCTTCTTTATAACCTGCTTTACTTACCTACTGTACAATCTTCTCCTCTATAACCTGGTTTACAACCATCAGTACATTGTCCTGTTATATGATGACATTCTTGTGATCCTGTACAATGTCTCTTGTTACATAGTTTACTACATCTATCTCCATAGGTACCATTCAGGCAATCTGAAATATAATATACATAATGTTATATAGGACTGTTTTTCCTAGTTTCTTTGTAATTATCAAACATATGTATGCGTTTAAAATCAATACTTACGCCATCTACAATCTTCTCCTGTATAACCTGTTGTACAACCATTATAACATTGTCCTGATATATGATGACAGTCTTGTGATCCTCTACAATGTCTCTTGTTACATAGTTCACTACATATATCTCCGTAGGTACCATTCTGGCATTCTAAAATATAATATACAGAATGTTATATAATAACCGACCTATTCTATGACTTTCATTGCTAAACACCTTACATATTTGCCCCTCTGGATATATTACTTGGCCCAACAAACAATCAAGTCTGGCTACGGGACTGTGTGGGACAGAGATTCCATGTTACTTTATAAGTTATGGTGAAATGTAGACAGTTCGATTCAAAACTTACTCAATATACAATCATATCCTCTATAACCTGGTTGACAACCATCAGTACATTGTCCTGTTATATGATAACAGTGTTGTGATCCTTTACAATGTCTCTTGTTACATAGTTTACTACATCCATCTCCATAGGTACCATTCTGGCAATCTGAAATAAAATAATATAAAGAATGTTATATAGGACTGAGATTCCTTGTTATTATATAAGTTTCGGGGAAATATATTCTGTTAAAATCAAGACAGACTTACTCAATGTACAGTCTTCTCCTCTGTAACCTGGTTGACAACCATTATAACATTGTTCTGTTATATGATGACATTCTTGTGATCCTTTACAATAGTGTAAGAATTACTTGTGAAATGCCGGTTAAGGGGTGTTGCTGTTTAGAGAGGAATCAAACAGAGTTATATTTAATCATATTATTAATCAGTTATTTTTATGAATTTTAAGAATGGTAGACATGGAACCAGTATTACAGCTACTTCCATACCATCCTGTCTGACATCCATTAGGACATTGACCAGTTATAACATCACATTTATCATAGTTCAACTGCTGAGGCTGTATTCAAATTTGGGCGACTCTGTGGTGGTGTCATTGTCTCAAACCTCCCATAGAGCGTCTTAGAGCGAGACATTTAGATTTGTTGAAAATGCAAACAACTTTTCCCTGTACCCACCCCACCCCCAAAAATTTCAACTGTATGCTATGTGTCTTAGAATGTCTGTGGGTCCAAGGTTTGGTGATATCAATATTTGAAATAAACGGAGAGTAGATTAGAGAGCAGGCCCTACGTCATAATTCTGTACGAGTATGACTGCATTGTGTAGGCTCATATTATGGGGTTTTATCATAATTGACCTATGCAGAATGACACAAGCAATCCAGTTTGTTTGTTTTCACGTTTCAAAAAATATAATTGCTCTTACCGTATTGTGGTTGCAAAGGAAAAATGAATGCAGAATCTCCAAGCCATCATAATAAAAAGGCATCGTGGTGGTGGTCGGTACAACAAAACTGAAAAAAATTGTTTCTTGGGCGAATCTACTTTTAGAAAAGCGGTGATGGATTCAACACAGTGGCGTATTGAATATGAATATTAGGTTCTACCTGTAAAATACTGCGTTTGTTTTACTTTACACACACAGAACTTTTCCAGATACAGGTTCAACCATGGAACTGACAGAATCTGAACAGAGCGTTTCGAACAAGTCTACCGTGACAGATCCAATGATATTCTGTGAACGAAAACTTGACTGAGTGAACAATAGTTCAAATGAATTTACAGGTAAGCTACCTCTTAAGATCACCGAAAATTGAAATTTTGAAACTTGGTTAAAATAAGTCCCTGTTCATCAGTGGACTTACCTGTTGTCATTAGCTATACGACAGAATCCCTCTATAATCCAATAAATCCATAAAACTAAGTAATAATCCATTGAACACGCTCAAAAACGTTTTCAATAATTACCCAGTTTAGTGGAAATATCGTCTGGTACAGAGATTCTATTCTTTAGTCATGGCACCTGGTTAGTCCAACTGATGAATTATATACACTTGTTAACCAAATTTGAGACTTTAAATTTCATGTCCATTCTAAGAGGTAGTATTCGTTTAAAACCAGTTTATTGCCAGTCGATTTTAACACACCTTATGGGCTTTAATTTTGGCACAAGGTTGGAATTATTCGTGGTCAAATCTCGTCAAATCTGGTGTCTCAATCTCAGCTTTCAAACTAAACTTACATAATAATTCTGCATTTATTCTGATTTAGATTAATAGCACATCGATAATTCATTTTTTCATATATACATATATTTAATACAACCCATATAGATGGCAATAGGAAAATAACATCACTAATAATAATGCAATAAAATTGAAGTTTTCAATGCATGTTCTTCACAATGTCAAGCTATACGAACTGCTTCTTATAAAGTTTGTAAATGCAGCAATTTGATTGGGTAGCGAATACAGCCCATCAGAGTTCTCGACAGAAACTTGTAAACAATAAGCTATTATGTTAACAGTATTTCTGTCGAGGGTCCTGGTAGACTGTATTGGCTGGTGTACACTCCAATCAAATTGATACATTCCGTGATTCAAGAAAGGTGGCTATTGCAGTCAAGGTATAAGACGAAGTTCGTAATAGCTTGATATTGTGATGCTATAAAAGTAGAAAATGCAACGTCTTTCAATTTATTGTACAATTATAAATGGTTTACAGAACCACCTGATATTTACAAAGAAAGACCATTCAAACAACCAAGAAACCATGTTTACACTGCTGTTAACCTTAGCATTTTTACATGAAATATCAATTGAGCATAATATAAATAAAATACTGATCCATATGATACCCTGGTTTTCAGATTTTCAAAAATAAACTTTTCATTCGCCCAAATCTAAGCGACAACATCGGAAAAAAGCAATCCGTAATGTCCGCAGGCTGATATACTAGGGTAATGGTCTAATCGTTTCATACAAGTTCTTCCCATATGTTTGACAAGCTAACATGCAGTTATGTCTGAAATAATTCAGTCTTCGGTCATAACTGTCATGGAAATGATAATAACACGCTGGAAATGCGACTGTCTTAACCTCCACTGTAAGATTTTGTTTAATTAATTGTTAAAAGGATACAAGTAGCTGAAACCCATATTTATCATTTCGTAAAACAAATATTTAAATGACTGTTTTCCTTCAATAGATACTAGAAGATGCTTTCCGTAAACTAACCCGTCCATGTTGTATTCCTTAAATGACACTACCCGATAAAGTCTAGAGAAACCTTGTTGAAACGTCGCCTATAACAAAGCTAGTAATTGTTTTCTATATAGTATCCACGTGATATTCTTTAAATGACACTGCCTGATGACTGAGGAAACCTAGTTGAAACGTCACCTATAATAAAGCTATTAATTGTTTTCTATATAGTGTCCACGTGATATTCTTTAAATATCACTGCCTTATGACTGGGGAAACCTAGTTGAAACGTCGCCTGTAATAAATCTAGTAATTGTTTTCTACATAGTATCCACGTGATATTCTTTAAATGACACTGTCTGATGACCGAGGAAACCTAGTTGAAAGGTCGCCTGTAATAAATCTAGTAATTGTTTTCTACATAGTATCCACGTGATATTCTTTAAATGACACTGTCTGATGACTGAGGAAACCTAGTTGAAAGGTCGCCTGTAATAAATCTAGTAATTGTTTTCTACATAGTGTCCACGTGATATTCTTTAAATGACACTGCCTGACGGACTGAGGAAACCTAGTTGAAAGGTCGCCTGTAATAAAGCTAGTAATTGTTTTCTACATAGTTTCCACGTAGTATTCTTTAAATATCACTGCCTGATGACTGAGGAAACCTAGTTAAAAGGTCGCCTGTAATAAATCTAGTAATTGTTTTTTATATAGTATCCACGTGATATTCTTTAAATGACACTGCCTGACGGACTGAGGAAACCTAGTTGAAACGTCACCTATAATAAAGCTAGTAATTGTTTTCTATATAGTATCCACGTGATATTCTTTAAATATCACTGTCACATAGTTATTTCAGTAACGGCAGATATTTCTGAATTCCAAAACCGGTTTCGTATAAAATGTAAAGTCTCCGGGTTTGTTGGTTATTCCAGTATTCAATCACTTTAAGGACGGAAGATATTTCTGAATATATTCTAAAGCTAGCTGAGATAAATCAATGTTTGTGTATGTTCGGAGTAAGGTAGTGGTCATTCCCAGCAAACTCATTCCATATAGTAGTATTATACACTTGATACCCAACTTGAAGCCCGGTAATCTGAAATACAAGTGGGAGCAGATATAAGTCAGATATGTAGTCAATTGCTAATACTAACTTGACTGCAATAGCCACTATTCTTGAATCACGCAACTTTGTAAATGTAGCTATTTGATTGGATCGTACGCTAACGAATTCAGGTAATCAGGGGCCTCAACAAAAAGTCTGTAAATACTAAGCCGAAATGTTTACAGTCTGGCTGTGGATGGCTCTGATTGTCTGTATTCTCTGGTGTGCAATCCAATCAAATCACTGCATTCTGTAATACAAGAATAGTGGCTATTGCAGTCAAGGTATAAGACGAAATTCGTAATAGTTTGACAATGTGAAGATGATATTAAGTGGTTTTTCTATGGAAAAGAGGCTGACCCGGCTTTGATCCACACTTTCAAATTTCTTATCATTTGTACATAATGAAAGAATCTTCAGTCAGCCTCCTTGACGTTTCTGTGGCCCCTCACCTCATTTAGACACCACTGGTCAAATTGGTTAACTGTAATTACATATGAAAATAATATTCTGTGGCTGAAGAATCTAAGAGGAATTCAATCACTGAATTAAGTCGAGTGCACCAATTACTGAAAATTTTCCGGTTGCCGTCAGTTGATTGCGTTCCCTTTAGTCTGGTGCATACTTAAGGCTTGTGTCCAAATACACGTTTTCATGAGTGTTCTCACCGTGGCGTGAAAACGGCCAGAAACCTTATATAGCATTTCAATAGGTCCTTGTCCACATTAGTCCGAAACATCTGCCTTTATTCCACTCTCTGGGCCTAGTCGCGATGTAAAGTCAACAATTAGTGTGCGCTGACTACATCTCTAGATGTACGCCGTTCCTAAACGATCGGTCAGTATGTGCAGAGATGAGCATTAATATGGAAGCTCAAAGCTATTACAGAGAACAATGGTACAATGGTAGTTGTTCTACGATACTAAATGCCCACATCTATCAATGTTTCTTACCGTTCTTCAACACTTCTACTATAACCATTAAAATATTTCTGTCGTGAATAAAGATAAACTAAACCAACCATGGAAGACGGAACTGCAAATGAATAAATAATAGTCACATAATATTATACTATCCTAAGGAAGGCCATTGTCGTAGTGTAATGGAATACAAATCCATCACTTTTGAATCGACGACCAATCTTTACAAGTCTAAAGTTTGGCTTATTAAGCTTGCTTAAAATTTATCGTTTAAGGTCGTTTCCTGTTCGTTTTTTCCGCTCGATTCCTGGTCGTTTTACCTTTTCTTTGGCCGTTTCTGGTCGTTTACTTTCGGTTCATGTTTTAGTTAGTACCCCACGAGGAGGTGGCAGGTCTGCATTAAATATAAAATCAATCATTAATACTTACTTGGATGGAAAAATATGGAAGACACCCATAGACTTGGCATAACTACAGGAATAAATTCTAATGAATTCTGACTGTAATTAAAAAGATTACAGAAAGATAGGAAGGTTATGCATGCTAAACAGAATCAAATTTCAAAGTCTACAGGTCCGGGTACACGAACCATCTTGGTCGGCGAAAAACTAGAGTTTTGTAAGAGTTTCATCGACCGGCTGTGGGCACACGAGGTGACAAAATTCAGTCGTTTTCCACTATGTTGATAATCACGTACAGAACAGAAAGGAAAATAAATCTGATTGGATGCTGAACTATTGGGGACAAGTATGAAACTTGTTTGATATTATAAACCCGATCGGCAACACGATTGTCTTGTCGTGGAAGCGCGGACACACGCGAGATTTAACTCAAGATTTGAGTCGGCGACAAAAATCGGCAACTAAGGCTGTTCATGTGTCTGAAACCTCAGAATTGTATAAAACTATAGACATTTCTCTATGGCCTACTAAATGTTATTATAGAGCTCACTGTTCTACAAAGAGGGCGTCTACCAATTTTACACAATTCTATTATAGAGCTAATTAATAGTTTTGATATAAAGCTAACTATCTGTTCTGTTTATGAGGGAACGATTCTATTATAGAGCTAACTAAATGTTTTGATATAAAGCTAACTATCTGTTCTGTTATACAGTAGTAGCAATTCTTTTATAGAGTTAACCAAGTGTTCTCCAACTTTTCTGTTATGGAGCTAGATGTAATGTTATAGAGCTTTCTGTCTGTCATAGAGCTTACTGTCTGTTATAGAGCTACTTAACTGTTTTCATAGCTCTAAAGAGCTATAATAAAGATACTGTATAATTTGCTTCGCTGTAAATAGCCGAAGCTATTGGCATAATAAGACGACTTAACCTCTTCAAGATAAAATGTGACAAAAATCTAACTTACTGTGCTCTGAATGCTCTTTCAAAAGCCACGTTACCCGTTGTCTGGGGAAAGGGAAGTTTTACCTTGTTCCGTACGTTACTCACTCTCTGAGCAAATGTGACTATAAAATATAAAGTTCATAAAGTAAGAAAGGGCTAGCTCCGAAAGTGCGAGATAAATAGACCCTTAATATTGCCCACGCTCATCCTTCTTAGGCCTGTATGGAACATGGTTATAAAGAGGCTTTCATGCCGACGTCAACTTGTATCAAACCAGGGACATTTAGGTTTTTTCTTTACAAATTCCAATTTCCCGTCCCAGAAAAATCTGACGATCTGATTTTGAACCAAAAACTTTGCACGGTAATTCGCAATCTAATGCTCAGAGCTGATCTTATATAGCCGAAGCGTTACATATACTCATTAAACAGGCCTATACAGGGCCCGTAACCAGCCAAATGGGCGGCCGCATTTGCATGGGGGGCAATAGCTGATAAGACTGATTTCAGCTTCAAATTGACAATTTGTTCAATTTTGCAGGGGGGCACATATAGTTCCATGGGGGACACCCCTCTCCCCCTCCCTTTTTTCAGTTACGGGCCTGGGCCTATGCCTATCCTATGAGTTATTTAACACCTTTGGAATCCCTTAAAAGTCAGTAAAAGGTCAATGAGAATTTCAACAATAGACCATCGGTTCAAATCTCCTCTCTAAAAATGCCAATTTGGAGACATTGTCATGACAGCAAATCGGGAATGTTACGAAATAGCTTTTTTCAGTAAAATTGGCTGCATCTTCTTGTACCTTGACCTTGATATCAGCTGTGCGTTTATTGAGATGAACCCTGGCTGTTATAAAGCACTAGGCTACAGTATATAGATAATAACATAACTTCACTTACCAATCTGATACGAGGCCAATATCGACACCATTCCTGGAAATACCAGATCTCCCAGTCTTAAGGCGTCCATTTTGGATAGAATGTCACTCATTTCCGGGGAATTACTGACGCATTTGTATGCAAAATAAATTATTTTCCTCGCTAAAAATCAATGGAATTCAGCTCAATGTTGTAAACATAGCTACTTTTATTCCAAAGGAAGGTTTCAAAATAACACTTTGTGCTGACAATCTGGCTACAGACCCCAGTTGAGTGCTTAAAGGGGTGGTCGTCCAAATATCCTCTTGACCCGCCAGTAGAGTTCAAATTCAGGTGACTGTATTAATATGCAGAATTAAAATCATTGTCCAGTTCTCTTACAATTAAATGCAAATAAAACTTTTGAAAAGTGGTACAGATAGCTGAAATTGAGCTCCATATATTGAGATGACTATACTTTAACATATTAACATACCATAAAATCCAAAATAGTTTATCAATTTATTAAAAAATATCATAATAATAAAGATAACTACATTTAATGCAGCAATTTGATATGTTGTGATTTGGATTCACTTTCTTTCAATAACAGTTTATTTTTCAACAATTTTTTATTTTTATTGTACTACACTGACAAAATATTTTGTTTTGTAAAATTATATTTCACCTAATTACTTTCCTCTGAGAAATTCAAACTGAAAGTATTCTGCCTTTTTATAAAAAAAATTTTATTTTCAAAAACGTAAATTATACCTGAAAATATTTCTAAAGTATGCTATTTATATCTATGATCTACTTGATCAAACTGAATTTGAAAGGGTTAATTAAAAACTAAGAGTACTAATTGTTAATTAAGCAGTGTGACCTAGTTTCGGTGTTTTAATGCCTCGTATATATTTAGTTGAAACCTTCAGAATACGTAGGAGACATATTTTTCTACAATTAGGTGTTTATCTTACTTAAATCCGTACAGTAGTTTCCAAACATCTATCAAAAAGCATAACCATACGTAATGATTAACGGCACAAATTTGAGCTAAAAACATTTTCGACCTACAAAAAAAGCGGAATGTCCTTTTAAAAAGAAAAATAATACTGCTGAAATAGCTTTCTGTCAAACTGAAATTTCAAAATACAGTAGTCATATGTGCCTATATTGACAATTTTATCAAAAAACTGATTTTCGAACATAAAATCTAATTCAAATGCTGTGTGTTTTCTCTGAATTTAGAAGTCAATTATGCTTCAAATGAAAATAAAAAAATGCAAAATTTAAATAAAAAAATTAAAGACATCTTTAAAATGTTATCTACAAAATTTCAAACTATGATTCATTAAGGCTTGTGCTAAATTTTATCTAAAATGATTTAAAGGAATACTACCTCTTAAAATTCAACTTCTCAAAATTGGCCAGTTTATTTTCACCAGTTGAATTACTCGGTTTTATGGATTTATTGGATTATAGAGGAATTCTGTTATATATTATGACACCATGTAAGTCCACTGATGAATATATACTCTTATTGGCCAAGGTTAAAAAAAAGAAAGAAATTGAGGTAGTATTCCTTTAAGATAAGAATTTATTTGGATGGTAAATATTTCTCTACTATCTGCCAGAAGGTTTGAGCTATATCAATATCAGCATATCTTCGTAGTAAAGTAGTGGATAGTCCGCAAGAACTCATAAATAACATGACCATTAAACATCGAACACCTAACTTGAACCCTGGCAGCCTGAAATTGATAAGGTACTTTGAATTTTAAAACTGGAGTCTTATACCTTGACCATCCAGAAATTTCAATATGAGAAAAAAACTTAAATTATATTTTAAGAAATTAAAGGAAGGAGTGGTATATCCATAATAGTGTTCTTATCTATTTATATTTTATATGGTTGGTCAAATAAAAATATCAAAAATATATTTGTTTTAATAAATATTCCTTAGATGAAAATGTTTAAAATTTGCCTTTTTCACCAAAAGAGACACTTTTTCTTATACAACAAATTTGTCTCATGTATTTTTGGGAGCCAGCAAAATATCAGTTATCACACCCTTTTCAGATAACACAAGAAATTTCAAATATTAAACATTTACCTATCTTCTACACTTTTAATATATCCTTCAAAATATCTGTGTCTTGAATAGAGATAAACTACACCAGCTAGTGCTGAGGGAACTGAAACCAAATTGATAATTGTATATTTCGTTTTGTGTTTTTTCTGAGGATGATTCCATATGCCATCCATGATCTGACAAGATTGTAATGCATCTCATGTTCTGTGCCATTTGAAATTCAATAATTAGAATTTTAAACCAGCCCTAATCCTTTACATATCTTTTCAAATAACTGATAAAACCTGTATCACATTTATTGTGATTATTATTGCAATTCATTTATTAGAGAAGGAAAGAGAAAAAAATAGTAGAAATTTGTAAAATTACTAACAAGTTTGTCACTATTAAGCACTTGAGAATATTTAAAAGTAAGGAATTGTGAAAAAAATCTCATGTTTTAAAGTCAAATTTTGATGTGAAAATCATACTTGGAAAATGAAAACATGACACAATTTCTTATACACACAAGGATTCTGTGTTATTTGTTATTAAAGGGGACTAAGAATTAATCGTCCCGATACATCACGATTATTTTTATCCGATGCATCAATAAGAAGGAAAAATCACGATTCATCGTTGCAGCCCTGAGTTTTACTGAACATAGGCCTACCTGGATGAAAAAATATACCAGATACCCATAAACATGGCATAAAAATTGGCATAAATTCTAATGTATTTTGTCTGGAATATAAAAGGTTCATAATTATCAGAAGGGGCAAGATTCCTGTTTTTTTTTAGTTGTTTTAACACATTTTGAAGATAATTTTATTATTCCCTATTTTTTTTTACACAACTTACATTTAGACATTTTCGTCAAGTCTTAAAACAATGGCTGTAAAAATATAGAAAAGATAACACATAATATTTTGTTCATCGTATCATATCATACTAACTTGGTATTTTATCACTAAAGACAATTTAACAGAGATTACTTGTCAGTGATCAACTTCAAAATAATAATGATAGCCTCTCCTCTCAGGGGGTTAAAGACTTAGATGGACTGATGTTTCATTTTGGGGGGGTTGATTTGAGTCTTCCATATATGTAAATATTCTTCAAAAGTACTAGAAACGGCATAATTCCTATTTTTACAGATGTCATTTCTATATAAGGTAGTGTCTCAAGAAAAAATGAAAAAATTCCTGCTTTTGAGACTAAGGTACAATTGGTCAAAAAAATAGTACACTTATCCCTTTAAGTCAAAGACCAACTCAAGGCCTTTGTGGACTACCACAACAATTGCAAATATGTAAATAAAGATAACTTACTGTGCACGAAAGGCTCTTTCAAATGTTGGCTCACCAGTTGTAGCAGGAAAAGCTATCTTAAACTTGCCTCTCATTACACCCACTTTTTTTGCGATTCTTGCTGCAGAATAAATTTAACATGTTATACTTCCTTAGCAAGCTATCTGGTCTGGTTTGATATAACCTACAGTGACACTTAAAGCCTATTTAATGGGCCACATTCACCATCCATGTGATTGAATGCACCTTAGTCTCAGAAATAGGAATTGTTTGGCTAGGCTAAATTCTAATCATCAATAGTGTTCACAGCTTATTGTTGAAATTTAAGTTTTCTTTTCCATGTGCATCCATAATTTTGAAAATTAAATTGATCGCTCTTTTTTTTTTTGGAACTCTGCCATGTTAGAAAGAATTTTTTTATGATAAGTTTTGCTATCATTTAACTAAAGCTTAGATGTTAGAAGACCAAAGACAAATTAATTTCATTTTTGACAGTGCTTGCACTAACTTTAAAGACGCATCGTTGTTTGTCTAACCTCCGCTCGTCTTGAAGCATTTACGTCACGTGACATAAAGTAGGTGGGGCTAACGTTCTGGTTGGCGATTGGCAAATTCTGTCAGAGCATGTTCATCTTGTACAAAAATTAAGTATTCAGGCAGGGGCAAAGCCAGTTAAGATAGAAATTAAAAGTGAAATTTCTAATTTTAGGTACGGTATATATTGAAGGAGTTATATTATTTAGATACAGTACTAATTCTTCTGAAAACAAATTTGTTTACATTATTGGACTAGCTTAGGCCATAATCAACCCCAAAATTGCTAAGTTTTGCACTTTTAATAATCTTTCAATTGACATTGTAGTTACATAATCTAAATAAATTCATGCATCCGGACACCACCTTATAAATTTTGTTATTGTCATACAGTACAATTCTGCAAGGAGAAGACATATTCTCACCACATTAAGCAGGTTTGTACTGGTCTCTCCAAAGAGTCCCACCTGTACCATCATGGCCATGTCATGTCCAAAACTGAAAGTAATGAAAAGTCCAAGTCTTGAACTATACGGCTATAAAAGGACAACTCACTCAATTGAAGTGCAGCAAATATGGACACGGTGCCGGGCAAAACAATATCTTCTAACGTTATATTTGTCATCTTGGGGTTAGGCTCCAATTCTAGGGAATTTCTGACTTCAACTAGTGATCCAGCAAGTTTTCAGCACATGAGTTCAAAGGTCAAAGGTCATTTTCCAGTACTGGGAAAGTTTCAAAGTAAGAATTTGTATTCAGACAACAATTAACTTGAATTGCCTCCCTTTGACTACAATCTGCAAAAATAATATATTCGTGAGGATTTTCTTTAATAATATTTGACAGATGTGTTTATACATATTTTGCACTTTAAATTTTGCAAACTATGAGCCAGTTTAAAATTTGATTAATGAATAATGCAGGAATATTGGGTGCAAGGGGGAAGAGGGAGGAATTTTGGGATTTTCAGAAATGTCCCTCATTGCACACTTCGTGGTGCTTCTAGTCCAAGTTGAGATTGGAGGAACAATATCACAACTTCATACTCTACAATTTAATAGCACAATAAAATTTACATATATCAACAAATTATATATAATATATATTATGATATACTGTACATAAATTATAATTATAAACACTTAAGGACGGATGACAATTTCATAACAAAAATAACAAAATAACAGTATCAAAAATAACCTAGAACAGCCAAAATATATCGGATGGACTTAAAATTATATAGGATGGACTTAAATTATAAGTAAATTTTAGAATGACATTATTTTTCGAAAGCAAAGGGTGAATGTTTTTTTTTTAAAGGGATCAAAGAGTTGTAAATTTTTTTATATGTATTGGATTTCATGGATTTGCACTGTTCCAATTTCCAGTCAGACAATCCCTAAATCAAAACAGACAAAATTGTACATTTGATATAAAACCTCAAATAAAGATACAGTTTTCTAAATGGCAAAAGACCTTATTCACGCTTCGGCCATATTGAATCCAGAATGAGACTGAGAACGCAAACAAAAGTAATGTGGTGTCACTGCAGTAAAATCGCCACCTTGGCGTCTTTAAATTCTCCTTCTCCAGTCCTAGTAACTCAAAACTAATCATATCTTACATCATTTCAAACAGGAGTTGATTCACACTTTTCTGAGAAAGGTAAGTTTTACGCCAATTTTCTCGCTGTTGATCGGGTGTAAGTTCCCATTTCTAAGGCTATGACTTCGCCATCTTATCAATGGATGACGTAAATTACATTATGAACCTCTATTTCAGTGTCTTAAAAACAAGGTGTAAATAAAGTCTATTGCTAGTATAGTTAAGCAAAGATATTTGTGCTCATACAGATCACATTCAAATTGTAACCACGAGTAGTCCACTTCTATTAAAGTTTAAAAATACTATTAGAAACTATATAGTAAATGGATAGATGCGCCATCTTGTGGGGGAGGAGGTGGGGGGGAGGGTGGAATATATGTAAATAGTCTTCTTTTAAAATTTCCTTTAAAAAAACTTCAAACTAGGAATTTTACTCATTACAGAGTATCTTAAAATTACGAGTCATCATTTTAACATTCAATTTCAGATAATTCAGGACATACATGGATTTGAAGGCTCAAATTTTGTCAGCGAGCTGGGAACACTATTACTAATTGACTCAGCTAAAAAAGAGTCCTGTTTCTGAGAATAAAGTATGATTGGTAAAAAAAAATGGTGCACCTGTCCCTTTAAACTACCACAAAATAGAGTGGACTGCTCATGTATAACTTTTGAACTGGACCTGAATATGCAAAAATAGCTGTGCTGAACTATAATCTGTTTAATTCTTAATATAAACATGCTCATATTGACTCAAAGAATCCAATGAATGCTTTGAATCGTCCATTGAACATTATTACACCGAATTCTCAAAAAAATCTACTAAAGTTTTTAATTCATAATTATCTAAAATCTCCAACAAAGAGGCTACTTTGGTCTTGACATTCTGACCTTTGAACTTATATTTATCTATAAATAGATCTGTTATCATACCTACAAAAGAAAAAGATTAGAAAACCAGTTGCAAAATACAAAAAAATTAATATCATATTACTCAGGGCTGTTTAGTTTGGGAAATCTTGTACCAATTAACACTGAGAGTGCATGAATAACCTAGAAAATCCAGCACATTTATATAGAAAAAAAAAAGATCATATTGAAATTAGTCATTTTGGAGTTCCAATCAGACATGACTCACAAATACAGATTAATCAACAACCCTGATATTATAACATTCAAATTCAATGGTGGCTCAGTACTTAGCATTTTGCATATAACACACCTATTGTATACAAACACAATGCAAATGCATTCCGAATTCAAAATTTTCTGCCCACAGATTACATGATTTTTCAGGATCTCAACAAAGCATCTTACTTACCATAAAGTCTTTCTAAATGACAAGGCTGTTTTTTGTACTCTATTTGTAGAGAGTCAGCCTCTTCTAAGATCTGTTGATACTCTGGTGACAGAAAACTGGTATCATTTTCATGTACTTGAAGTTCCTGGAAAAAATAATTTGGCAAACTCATTAAAAATTGTTTTTAATTAAAACTCTTAATCTAAGGACAATTTGATTAATTAACAGCTTCAGATAGTTTGTTTTCAATGTTTTGGATAACTTCATTCATACTAAGATCTGAAGACATTTACAGTTGATTAATTCAAAATTCAATCAACCAATGGCTTTGATCAGTAAGATCTCTAGAGCTAAATTTTTTCTAAAGACGTACTTAGGGGATGATTTGAGTCTTGAATATATGTCAATAGTCTTTCGAACTAGTAAGATTGTACGAAAATTGCATAATTCCTTCAAATAGACCTCAAACAAGAAATTTCGTCTCCTATTTCTATAGATGTATTTTCTATATAGTATATATGGCAGTGTCTCAAGAAATAACGACTCATCTTTTTTAACATTCAAACACAGATAATTCTGGACACACATGGATCTGAAAGCTCATATTTCAACAGTGATCTGTGAATACTATTATTGATTCTCTACTCTGAGATTAATGTATGATTGGTCAAAAAATGGCGCACTTGTCCCTTTAAAGATCTCTTGTTAAAAGTCTACACCAATGCCTTACTTCCTCAAGGTACATGACTTTTCCCCATCATCTTCTTTGTTCAAAAGCAGAGAAACAGGAGGTAAAACTCCAAAACTGATGATTAAACTCAGAATATTTGAATTGAAATCAATGGCAAAAATTTTATGATAACAAGGAGGCAAAAAATGTGACGTCATTTGTTACTAACCTTCAATGCGTCAATGAGTTGAACTTTCTTAGCTAACAATAACTGATACTCTAATTTAGGATGTATTAAACCAAGAGTATGAGGTATAGAATCTTCATTTATATCTTAAATAAATAAAAACAATACTTTCAATAAATAAATACATTACTGTCAATAAATAAATAAATACACTACTGTCAATAAATAAATACATTTACTGTCAACAAAATAAATACATTGCTGTCGATAAATAAAAACATTACTGTCAATAAATAAATACATTTCTGTCAATAAATAAATAAAACATTACTGTCAATAAATAAATACATTGCTGTCAATAAATAAATAAAACATTACTGTCAATAAATAAATACATTGCTGTCAATAAATAAATACATTACTGTCAATAAATAAATAAAACATTACTGTCAATAAATAAATAAAACATTTCTGTCAATAAATAAATACATTTCTGTCAATAAATAAATAAAACATTACTGTCAATAAATAAATACATTACTGTCAATAAATAAATGAACTTAAGTAGTTATCCTGGTTTAAAATATTGGTTGTTTCTTTTTTTCTTTCTAAACAAGCTAGACTTTTATTTTGTGTTCAATTTACCGTAATTGATATCCAGCCTTATTTTCTTTTTGGTAGCCTCTTTCGACAAGACGTCTTTTAATATGGATATAGTTGAAATATTGTCAGACTTGAATATGGCTTCACCTTTTCTGCAAACAAATAATCAAAATAATCTTTAAAGAAGCTAATACTTAGTTTGAAATTGGTATTTCTATATCTGATAGTGATATATTGGCAGACATGGGGCAGGCAGACAAATCTTATGGACATAACCTTCCACTGATTAGTTAATAATTTTATTTGATTGCAAGGGAACAGAAAGTGAGATTTAAATTCTGAAAAGTGGCATGGACAATTGATAAAGCAAACATTTTGACAATTATATACCTTGAGCCTATTTTCCTTCAAAGATCCCATTTGAAAAACGAATATGAAGTGCTCCTCAAACTTGACATATATGGTTTTGAGCAATAAAATAGTTACTGCATTTTGATCAGATAGGCCTGGGAACCAAAATTCCAATCTTTCAAAAACCCTTACCTGTAAGAACATTGTAATTGTGTATCTAGGAATGTTGATATGAAATAAAATACCACAGAATCACCGGCTGGGGATCTATCTGGTAATTCAGGTAAGCAGAAACACACCCAATTATGCATTTCTGCTAAACTAAACTGTCCTGTCAACTTCAATGTATTGCATGGTCTGAAATTGAGAAAATTTACGTCTTTAAGTTAAGTGCTTGCTCGTGTCAAAGGTTAGGGATCCATACAGGCAAAGGTTGAGATGGTATCTTCAGGTTTCCTTGTAAACTTCAAAGATTAATGTGATAATGCCAGAAACATTAAATGGATTGATACATTTTTTTCTTTGATAATATCAGTTATGTAAGTGTAATAGCTGCTTCAAATTTGAGTAAAATTTCAATTTCAAAAATGTTTGTGGACCTGGGGCGACTTTTGAAGAAATACAGTTCAACTATTGACTGACCTTGTATCATCAAAGACATGAGTACGTTGATGTAGTGATAATGGTTTAATTGGGTATTGTTTAACTTGACATGTTTTAGGTTGTATACGGGGGGTGATATAAATCTGTAGAGTGCCATATTGTCCTTCTATAGAACGTATCTTTAATTCTAAACGTGTTGTATTGGCCTGACATCTGTATGTAGCCAAAACGAAATTACCTTCCTGTAAAAAAAAATGAACCTTTCTACAAAGATAGCCTTGTGAAGCAAGATGAAATACGCCCACCAGCAGTTGAACATGATATTTTGGTGAAAAATCGATAAGGATCATCTTCATTAAAAAATCAAAAGAATCTGTAAAGAATCGTTGCCTGTAGAGTGAGCACGAGCCAAATGTGAACAAACAAGACGAACCACCAGGGTGATTACAATACACGCCCAAAATATATTTGTGGGCGTTTAAAACTAAGATTCTTGTGGATCCTGTTTACTAGCTTGTCCTTGGCAAAAAAACAGACAAAAACTTTCAAATTTCAATAGGTTTGGATAATTTCCAGGATAGCTGTTGATATGGCTTCTGCTAGACATTTCTATCTATTCTAAAATGTTGATTTTGGGTCTTGAATAGATGTAAATAGTCTTTAGAAATATGGTACTATAAATGTATGAAACTGCATAATCCCTTCAAATATACTTGAAACTGAGATTTTCTCTTTCTATTTTTATGTCTTCTTCTATATCTGGCAAAGTCTCAAAAAAAGACGAGCCATCTTTATAACGCGAGTAATTTTGGACACAATTGGATTTAAAGAATCAATTTTAGACGGTGAACTGTGAAAACTATAACTGATTGGCTTAGCTTGAAAATTCCCATTTCTGAGTATGATTGGTTAAAAAATGGCCAATCTGTCCCTTTAAACTAAGCTTTCTTGCCGATTATTACACAATTGTTCACATATAAGAGATATTTACCTCTGGATTACAAGCACTATGACTAACTACAGCTGAATTCTTTTCAACATCCAATAGATCTACTGGTACATCACTCTAAAATAATGAACATCATTGATGAGACATTGAGATTCATTTGTAGAGTTTAATGTCTCTGATTAATATATACAAGGGCAAGAAAATCTCCTTGAATCCCATCAGATAATATACTAAAATATATGAAAAAATCTTTATCTCTTCACAAGGTACATTTGTTGGTTCATGAACACAGCAAATGTTTTCATAGACATTTGCAAACTATGTAACCTATGTTTTATGTAAAAGCCTCCTCCCATCTATAATGCCCCACAAAATTTCTTAAACAGTTTGCACTTGCTACAATGTGCAAACGCAAGAAGTATTCTAGCCTCTATCATCCAGGCCCTCTTTGTCTATGCACAGCTGCTTGTTAGACAGGAGAAGTCTGGGCATCAGAGACAAGAATAATTCAGGAATCTTCACCTTAAAATATTACAGTTAAAACAATGTATTACTCAAAGATTTAAAAGCAATAAAATTCTGCAATTTTCTTAATGAACAAAAGCAGGGTGAATTGAGTTTTTTAGCCCTAAAATTTTACAGTTTAAACAATGCCTTACCTGTAAGAGTACATTGTCTATTGGCATCTGTAACTCTAAACTAAGTGTATAACTAGCATCTTCTCTATTCAATACAAATTTATCATTAATTTTAAACAAAGGAACAGCTGATACAGCTGTATTACTATAAGCTGTTTGTTGGTATTTCTCTCTTTCTTTCATAACTTTATCTTGTAACTGTTCTAGATCATCTCTATAATACAACATAATTATACAAAATTTACTTCAATTTTCTTGATAACGCTTCCTAAATGAGCATATATTAGAAACATAATATCCATTGATCTAGTACTTAATATTCAAAATTCCTCAAAATAACTGATTTTTTTGCGATATATACCTCAGAGGTATTAGGTGTATTAGGCGTATTAGCAAAGTACGTTGAGCAGGAGATAAAATGAACAGGAATATTCCACAGTCTAATACCCTTAACTCATATCTACATACAAAAAATGTATTTAAAACCAGATTGAAAATTAAACTTATTTTATATAATTAGCAATGTACAAAAATAAATAAGTTAAAGGATGATTGTTAAAAATGTCAGCGAAAAAAATCAGAAAGAAATGCCCATAATATAACAGTCTAGGAGAGACTTACAAGCAACTCATTCAAGCAAATAAATATAAATATATAAATATGTTGCAAATTCAAAATGTGATATGACTATGAGATATGATATGATTATGTGATATGATATGATAATGTGATATGATATGATAATGTGATATGATCATGTGATATATGACTATGTCATGTGATATGATCATGTGATATGACCGCCACTGCCATGTCATATGGATGTATGTGATATGATAATGTGATATGATAATGTGATGTAATATGATGATATGATTATGTGATGTGATATGACTATGTGATATGATATGATTATGTGATATGATAATGTGATGTAATATGTGATATGATATGGCTATGTGATAATAGATATGGTATGACTATGTGATATGAAATGACTATGTGATATGATATGATTATGTGATGTACCATTTTTCATGGTTTAAAATAAACTATTCGTTTGAATAAATGATATTAGTACATCTAATAAATAAACAAAATACAACATCTTATATTGCTTACTTTAAGCCCATTAATTTATGAGCTGTTCCTGATTCTACCATTACTTCTTGTGGTCCGAATTCCTTAGTCTGATGTTCTGATGTCAGCCCAAATACCCAGCCTATAAACCATGCAAACATGCAAAATATTAGTAAAGCATACCAAAAACCAGGGCATAGAATTGAAAGCTAGATAGTAAAGAAATAAGGCACATATTCCCTGTACAAAGGGATTTATCTGTAAGAATATAAAATCAGACTCAAAGATATGTTTGTCATATTTACATGAACATCACAAACCAAGTAAATTTAGAAATGATAACATCACAAATTTATTAAGTTTAATGCAATACCAGGTATTCAGCGAGTAGTTTTGAGATCTAAAATCTTTACTGAATGTAAAAATACACAAGCGCATTCCATCTAATTGTTCAAATCATACAATAACACAGTATTTTCACTGTTAAAATAGTGCTCAATACATCAATTATATGTAGAGCTATATAGAAATACCACTGTTAAAATAGTGCTCAATACATCAATTGTAGAGCGATATTGAAATACCATTTTTAAAATAGTGCTCAATACATCAATTGTAGAACGATATAGAAATACCACTTTTAAAATAGTGCTCAATACATCAATTGTAGAACGATATAGAAATACCACTGTTAAAATAGTGCTCAATACATTAATTGTAGAGCGATATAGAAATACCACTTTTAAAATAGTGCTCAATACATCAATTGTAGAGCCATATAGAAATACCACTGTTAAAATAGTTCTCAATACATCAATTATATGTAGAGAGATATAGAAATACCACTGTTAAAATATTATTCAATGCATCAATTGTAGAGCGATATAGAAATACCATTGTTAAAATAGTGCTCAATACATCAATTATATGTAGAGCTATATAGAAATACCACTGTTAAAATAGTGCTCAACACATCAATTGTAGAGCTATATAGAAATACCACTGTTAAAATAGTGCTCAATACATCAATTGTAGTGCTATATAGAAATACCACTGTTAAAATAGTGCTCAATACATCAATTGCAGAGCGATACAGAAATACCACTTTTAAAATATTATTCAATGCATCAATTGTAGAGTGATATAGACATACCATTGTTAAAATAGTGCTCAATACATTAATTGTAGAGCTATATAGAAATACCACTGTTAAAATAGTGCTCAATACATCAATTGCAGAGCGATATAGAAATACCACTTTTAAAATAGAGCTCAATACATCAATTGTAAAGTGAAATACCACTGTTAAAATAGTGCTCAATACATCAATTGTAGAGCCATATAGAAATACCACTGTTTAAATAGAGCTCAATACATCAATTGTAGAGCCATGTAGCGAAATACCACTTTCAAAATAGAGCTCAATACATGAATTGTAGAGCGATATGGAAAAACCACTTTTAAAATAGTTCTCAATACATCAATTGTAGAGCCATGTAGAGAAATACCACTTTTAAAATAGTGCTCAATACATCAATTGTAGAGCCATGTAGAGAAATACCACTGTTAAAATAGTGCTCAATACATGAATTGTAGAGTGATATAGAAATACCACTGTTAAAATAGTGCTCAATACATGAATTGTAGAGCCATATAGAAATATCACTGTTAAAATAGTGCTCAATACATCAATTGTAGAGCCATGTATAGAAATACCACTGTTAAAATAGTGCTCAATACATGAATTGTAGAGTGATATAGAAATATCACTGTTAAAATAGTGCTCAATACATCAATTGTAGAGCCTTATAGAAATACCACTGTTAAAATAGTGCTCAATACATCAATTGTAGAGCCTTATAGAAATACCACTGTTAAAATAGTGCTCAATACATCAATTGTAGAGTGATATAGAAATACATGTTCATGTATTAAAACAGTACATAAAAAAACATATTGCTACTCAAAAATACTGAAACCATGCATTTAGATAAGCAAGGAATACATAATTAAAGTGGCTGTGAGGATTTACTTGAAATTTGCAAAGGGGATAATCATATCTCCCACTGAACACTAATTTAGTTTTTTGGATACCTTGAGGTACCCACATATATTTTTTCCCCATACCTGTTTGCTATATTTGCTGTTCAATATGCAAAAAAACAGTCTAATTTTCAAACTATTTAACCATTCAGTAAGTTTTAAGTTTTCTTTAAATCAACAACCAGAAGATTGTGTGTAATTTAGCAGACACAGCCTCTTTAAGCAAGCATTTTGTTAATTTTTCTATGGATTTTTCTTTAATCTGCAAGGTTACTTAGTTATCCAATATCACCATGCAGTTATATATAGCCCATTACCAGCTTTAGTTTACCTTAAAGCCCTAATCTTAGCCCGACCTTCGGGGCTCAGTTTATTATTGTCTGGGGGTTTCCCTTTTCGATGACCCTTTGAAGTTAGTGAAAATACACTGCCTGTAAAAACCATGTAAAAAATGTGACGAAGAAAAAAGCCCCTCTTCTTCAAAATTAATCCCATAAACCAAAAACAACCATTCAAATGCACTATATTGAACAATCATCTTCCTGTTTCATCCCCAAGCTACAAGCAAATATAAGATTTGGATCTTAATGACAATTTAGACCAAGACCACAAAAATTTCTGCAGTTTGAAATTTTAATTCAGGGCCTAAAAACATGTTGCCATTACAAACGCTTATTAGAGAAAGTATAAAAAATGGCAAACTGTACCTGCATATGTAGAGCAGACAATTTCATCATAACCTGAACTAGAGATAATTCCACCTTGTACAGACGTCACACTTTCACTACATGTCTAAAATTTAAAATACATATATAAAAATTCAAATTCTTATAGATTTAATGAGATTTCACACAAAACTTAGATAATGAGGAGGGCTGTAGTTCAATCAGTAAAGGTGTTTATAACCTTCAGCATGAAAGCATCTTTTCCTGTTAATTCATTCAGCTGTAAGAGGGTTAACCTACTGATTATCCATAGCCAAAATTTTGACCTCTTAATTCAAATATAATTTCTTTTAAGTCTAATAACAACAATAGTTGTCTACAAACTGGCCATTGCCCCAACCTATTGGTATTGATAGTTACATTCCAAGAATCCACTGAATCCGTCCTCATCTTATCACCATCCATAAGCAGGTGGGTCTATTGAAAGGGGAATCAAGCAGAAAAGGACTGGCCTTGCCCACAGACTTGGGTAATATTTATTTCAAGATCTTCCAAACCCATTCCTGGCTATGTCATCTGTAGAGCAAAATCCAGAAACTTACATAACTATATCTATGTGTGGGTTCATCAGCTTCATCATAACTATAGATTTCAACCTGTCCATCATCTCTACCAACTATCAGATCTAATACACCATCAGATGTTATATCATAGTTATCTAAACATAATATTCCTGAAAGAATAACAATATTATAATTATAATCTCTAAATGACATATAAATAAGTAAGAACAATATTAAAGAAAGGAGTAGTATATCCATAATAGTGTTCTTATTTTTTTAATATTATTGTTCTAATAACATAATATTACAAGTGAAATAAAAATATCACTGTATCTAAACATAATGTTCCTGGGAAAATAACAATATCATTGTTATTTTAACATAATATTACTGTAAGAATAACAATATCATTGTTATCTAAACATAATATTCCTGGGAAAATAACAATATCATGGTAATTACTGTAAGAATAACAATATCACTGTTATCTAAACATAATATTCCTGTAAGAATAACAATATCACTGTTATCTAAACATAATATTCCTGTAATAAAAAACAATATCATAGTTATTTTAACATAATATTACAAGTGAAATAAAAATATCACTGTTATCTAAACATAATATTCCTGTAAGAATAACAATATCATAGTTATTTTAACATAATATTCCAGTAAGAATAACAATATCATAGTTATTTTAAAATAATATTCCTGTAAGAATAACAATCATAGTTATTCAAGTTATAACATTTCAAAATTTGAGTTCAAGGATGATAAATTTAAAAAGAAAATGTATATATGATAAAAATGTATGGTTACCTCCATTTCTCTTTTCATTGGTCAATTCCCATCGATGTGACGGCGACAATCTGAAATTCAAAGAAATTGTTTTTCCCTTTTTGTCAATAAGGATAATAGAATCAAAACAGAATTATCTTGATATGTAAGCATGCTGAACACACTACAATACCATAGTTAAAAAAACAATGACCAAAATAATACTTACTGTCCAATTGAAGTCAGTCCTACTCTACCATCAGATGTACCAAATAATATTTCATTCCCTTCATCACCTGAATACAAGATTTATATAAGCTTTAGAATTAGACAGTTCTTCATTGAAAAATTTTTTATTGATAAACTCAACTGTTCATAGAATTCCTCATTCAGTCTTGAAAAAAACTAGGAACTAGGAAAAAAATAAACTCGCATCACTTTTCAAGATGAATATAAGTCTTTTGATTTATCTGCAATAGGTAATGGATATATTTGACAGCTAGTTTGATAATAGGAGTTCATTTTCCACAATTGGACATATTGATCTTATGTGAGAAATTAGCTAGCTCAAAGTGATAACTGAATAAGAGTAAGAAATTTCTAGTTTATGAAGACTTTTGATTCATACAATCATCTAGAGCTCATCTGATGAATATCATATTATCTCATGGCTAGCTAAGACTCTGGTAACTTCCACCAGTTTAAGCAGTTGATAATAACAGGACAAAATGAATTATAAATACAAATACCTCCATTAACATCATACATCTGTAGAGTTACTGGTGGACCTGGTACTTCTACTTCATATAATAATTCAGATCCCTGTAAACAGTATACTTATAGTAATTGATATAAGAAGATATGGTTGGCTTAATACTTGATAAATTTCAGCTTCCAACAGTCTCTTCAAAATAACATTTAATAACCAGAACGATAGAAGTTGGACGTGAAATCAGAATAATGCACTTAAAGGGATTGTAAAGAGATTTTTCTAAATTTCGAGGACAATGGTAGTATCAATTTGCCATTCTTTTAAATATGCACATTTATTTAAGCCCATTTACACCTGTGCCCAGTTAAAAATGCTTTATTGAAATCTAACCTGAAGCACTCGAAGAACACGATCCTGACAAGCTAAAACTGGAGTGATCTCGGTTACTTTATCCATTGGTAAACATAATACATCATTGATTTTATCACCACATAAATAGTAATTAGTATCTTTACAATCATGATAATGATTAAATATAAAATTACCACAAACAAACAAATCTGATCCTTGTACATGACTGAAATAACAAACAAATCAGATTCTTGTACATGACTGAAATAACAAATAAATCTGATCCTTGTACATGACTGAAATAACAAACAAATCTGATCCTTGTACATGACTGAAATAACAAATAAATCAGATTGTTGTACATGACAGAAATAAAAATAACCCAGAGCTTTGCACATGACTGAAATAACGAAATAACAAATAAATCTGATTCTTGTACATGACTGAAATAACAAACAAATCAGATTCTTGTACATGACTGAAATAACAAACAAATCAGATTCTTTTACACGACTGAAATTAAAAATAAATCAGATTCTTGTACATGACTGAAATAACAAATAAATCAGATTCTTGTACATGACTGAAATAACAAACAAATCAGATTCTTATACATGACACAAATAACCCAGAGCTTTGCACATGACTGAAATAACAAATAAATCTGATTCTTGTTTCTGATCTTTGTACATCATAGAAATAACAAACAAATCAGGTACATGTGCATAACTGAAATAAATTGATTTGATCCCTGTACATGATTGAAATAACAAACAAATTGGATCCTTGTACGTGACTCAATACATGTACATGACTTAAATAAAAAAATTTTTTATCCTTGTACATGACTGCAATAACAAATGAATCTGTTCATTGTACATGACTGAAATAACAAATAAATCAGGTCCTTGTATCAGATCTTTGTACATGACAGAATAACAAATTTATCATAGAAATTACTAGCAAATCAGATCCTCATCCATGACTGAAAATAATAAACAAAATGGATCCTTGCACGTGACTGAAATAACAAACAATTCAGATCATTGTGCATGACTGAAATAACAAAAAAATCAGATAATGTACATGACTGAAATAACAAAAATATTGTTTTTACTTACAATGATTGTACAGGTTCAGACATATTGGTGTCAAATGACAAGAAATTTTTGCCTTTTTTGGTGTAGCCTCTTATTTCAGGACCAGTAGCTATAAATATCCTATCTTTAACGCCACCAATTGGTCCTCCTAACTCTAGTCTGGTTATTTTCTGGGATGGTGGGGTCTGGAATACTTGCTGTAAATGATAATTTTTGTCAAATCATTATAACAATCTTATACGAAAAAATTAATATGCTGCATATTTCAAAACTAATACAAGTAAGTTCTAATTAAATACTTAATAGAAACCCCTGTACATACAAAAAAGGTAGAAAAACTTCTAACAACCCTTTAATAACCCCATTGCCTCGGTACATGCTCTACATTGGTTTTCATACCTGTATTTCAGCTTTTTTTGCTCCAAAAACCTGTAATATTCCATAGTTGTCTGCTATAGCTATCTGAAATATACAGTAAAGGTAATGAAAATATGTTAATTAAAATATCATACAGTCTACAAAGATTTTAAAGGGACAGGTGTGCCATTTTGGGGGGTTGATTTGAGTATTGAAAATATGTAAACAGTTTTCAGAAGTATTAAAAATGTAAGAAAATCACATAATTCCTTTAAAAAAATCTCAAACTAGGAATTCTACACACTATTTCTATAGATGTATTTTCTTCTTATCATGAGTCGTCATTTTAACATTCAAGCACATATAATTCATGATGGCTTTAATTTTGACAGTAAACTGTGTTCAAACACTTCTGAGACTAAAGTATGATTGGTCAAAGAGAATGGCACACCTGTCTCTTTCAAGGAATTCTACCTCTTAGAAAAAGTTTCAAACTTGGTCAACAAGTGTAAGGTCTATATATTCATCAGTTGGACTTACAAGGTGCCATGACTAAAGAAAAGAATCTCTAGTGAATATAACTCAAATCTGTTGTAGCCAAGCCCAATTGTTCTAAACGGTCAAGTTCTTTTTTTCCCACTCGAAGACAAGTAAATTTATTGAATTCAGATATGAAAATTAATTTCAATGGAATCAGTTTTGAAAACTTATCAGATTACAACTTACCCTTTGTAGTTTCCCAGAGGTTGGTAAAACTCTCATAGATTTTGGAGATGTTATCCCCACCTGAATGAAAGAATTAAAAAAAAATTGATAATAAACTTTATTTACTGAATTTGTTTGATTTCAATAATTCAGTTTATTTTATTAACTTTTATAACAAATAGATTTGTTTAGATTTTAACGGCTTTATAATTCGGCATTCCATCAAAAGTTTCGCACTGAAGTGTAGAAGCGAACACAAAAGGGGCCCAGTTTATATGCTTTTCTATCATATTACTTTTGTCAACAAATATTGTAGACGAGTTGAATTTGAAGATGAGTTCTTCAACAATATTTTGTAGACGAGTTGACAAGTTGCAAGGCCAATTAATTAATTTGAGTTTGACAAGTGAAAGTCAAGTTCAAGTGCTCAATCGACTCAATCGGATTAGATTCTGACAGTGGCACTGAAGTGGTGAAGAAGCTAGAAAGTGATATTTATAATGTGTGCGTTTTGATCTAGATCCAAGGTATTTACCTGAACGTAGTCAACACGAGTTAGATTTAATTTCATCATATTGAAGATTGCCTAAATGATAAATTCCATAAAATAGTTCACGTAAACATGAACGCTAAAACATTTTCTCAACTTCCTTGACAAAAATGTAAACAACAACAGTTCCGCAGTCAACCGGAAGTGAAGGTTCGCAGAAATTCAAAGAAAACTTTAAAAAATATTACACTTTTCAAAGACAATGAAATAATCATTTGTTATATCTATAGCTTTAATAAAAAGATATTAGATAAATTTTCAAATATTCGGACAAATGCAACTGCCACAACTTTATTTTTGATTGGAGTGTAGATACCGTATATTTGCGTGCATAATGCGCACATAATCAAGATACGGCTCGTCATATATATATGGGGTACAAATTATACGTAGTTCAAACAATCTTATTTTACACTGCATAAAGAGGACTTAAAGGGAATGTAAGGAGATGTCCTAGCCTTTTTATGTGTATTGGGGACACTTTTGTCTTATATTTGGGACATTCCAATTCTTCGTCTGATGCCTGTGGTTCCTGCAATTCTAGAAAGAGTTCACTGGAAACGTTGCATCTCCTGCAAGAGAATTTGTAACCAACCTAACACCAGACCACAATCACATGATAATATATGTTATCTCTCCTTACAAGAAGGCCTTATTTCTAACTAAAAATTGCAGACTCATTCACATTTTGCTTCACCGTTGCCTTACTACTACTCTTTACTACGTCTTTAATTGCTTAGTTTTAACAGAATAGAAGAGTTGTGTAATATTAAGTGCAAATCCTGCTTTAAGGTTTTTATTACAAAACTCTCTGGTCAACCAAAATTTTCGACAGTAGCATCTTCTGATCTATCTGTGGATTCACGATTCAGTAGACCTGTACTTATCTAAGACCACTGAAAAATAACAGTGGCCACCACAGAATTGTCAAGGGGAGCTGACAGTCTTTTCTGTCTCTATGTAATGGTGAGAAATATGACTGGGGTTGCCTGTAGAAAGGACATAGTGTAGACACATAGTAGCCCCAACCAACTACCAATAAACTCATAATAAAAGAATAGTGAAATCAAGATGTTTATTATACAAGACATGAATACAATGTTTGTAAATCTGTTGTGGCTCAGTCACAACACTGAGACAGCTGGTTATGTCATGAAATGGAAACTCTACTAGGTAAGTCATGACATTTAAATGCATCTGGTTTAGTCATGATATTGTATCACATCTGGCTCAGTCATGACTTTCTATGTTGTTCACAATACTGAGTTTGATACACATCTGCACATACATAACATAAAAACACATCTGTCTAAATTCATGGGTATGAATCACCTCTGGCTAGGTCATGACATGAAATACACATGGCTAGGTCATGATATTGAAATACATCTGGCTAGGTCATGACATTGAAATACATCTGGCTAGGTCATGACATTGAAATACATCTGGCTAGGTCATGACATTGAAATACATCTGGCTAGGTCATGAGATTAAAATACATCTGACTCATGAAAATTAAACACATTCTGGCATATTGTTGACTTATTGCTAGAAACATCCCAACAAAATGATGATTCAATCTACAATTGGTTATAATCAATAGTATTTCTCACGTTGAGATATTTCCATCCAATTTTTTTCTCACGAAAATATGAAATCCATACTGAATAAACAAAAACAGCAATAATAAAATAGAACTAACTGGTAACTGATTAGATAAACTAAAAAAATTTAAATTAAAGTCAATACTGAATGAAACATGAACAATTTTATAAGCAGCATTAATATAAATAAAATACATGTTTAAAGTGATTGTAAAGAGGTTTTCTAAATTTTTATGTGTATCTGAGGCACTGATAGTATCAATTTGTATCATTCCACATGTGGTTCCTGCCATTCCACAAAAATGATGACATCACTAATGCCGAAATATTCTTGTATCACATAAGGCTCTGTGCGATAAGTGATGTCATTGCAGGAACCACAGACGTCTTATTGAAAATTGGAATGGCACAAATTCATGCTATCAGTGTCCTCAATACACATAAAAAATTTAGAAAACCTCCTTACAATCTCTTTAAGTTTTCTTTTCCAAGTTACTACACTGTATGCAGATGAATAAGACATACGATTTTATTTCTTATAAGTGCTATTATGAGCTCTAGCAATTTTTAAATCTTTTAAACGTGCAATGAATGGCACAATTTGGCACTTTTTTATGTACATATAAATATCTTTTTAATTATTTATAAACAAAGATACAAGCACCAACTTTCTGTCTTTTGTAAGGATTACATAAATACTATGTGAAAAAGCACCTATTTGCTGTATGGCACAAAACATATTTCAGAAACAAATTACTACTTTTAGAGTGCGGGCACACAACCAGTTTGGGCGGCCATTTTTGTCACAGACTTAAATCTTGAGTTAAATCTCACATGTGCAAACGCTTCCACGACAAGATTATGACTTTGCTGATAGGACTTATAATATCAATCAAGTTTGACAAATTTTTCGCGATTTGTTTCATCATCTGTAAGACGGGTTCATCATCTAATCAGATTCATTTTTTTTTCAATTGCATGATTTGCACGTGATTATCGACAATGACTGACAGGAGATTTTTTTGTGGCCAGTCGCTGAAAACTCATTATTCACCAACCAAGACTGTTTGCGTGCCTGCATCATCAAATAGTAAACATAAAAGATACCCTAAGGAGACATAAATTTGAGAATATGTGTGATCATTGCTAAATTTGCAAGATATCTTTTTATTTTGAGACAAAACATCTTTAAAAACTAACTCTAAATTCAATGCAAGAGAATCCCTTTCTCTGTTTAATATTTGGAATATTTGGATTAAAAACCTGGAATATTTTATCAAAATGAAGGGGAATTCTATTACGAATAAAGACAATTTTGTCAAATTTTGTAAAGAAAATATACTTTATAACCTCTAAAAATCAAGAACATGGGCAAATATTTTCAAAACAGCAACCTGGAAAAGGCATTCAAAACAAACTTCATATAAATCAAACAATGAGCACAAATTTCAAAAAATATCACAAGAGTTGCTTAAGTTTAAACTAGGATCAATGTTGTGATTTAATACTGTCTAAAACAGGCATATTGTGTATTTCAAAATCTAATAACATCTGACCATAAGCTTTTCCCTGAAAATATAAAATATAGGTGATCTTCAAAAGAAGTGTAATATTCAGTTCCAAGTTCAAGAAAGGTTGTTCATCCATGTTTGTGACAAAGTGACACTTTCACTAGCTTCTATATGTACTGCACAAATTTCCCCTTTGACATAATGTGGTATTCATATAACACTATAAAATCTAAAGTCACTTTTTTCAGAATAACAGGAACTACATCTCATGAATGGCACATTGTTTTTAGTGAGGAAGTTGATATTGTTTGGAATCTTTAAAATATCAGGAAGATAGTTTGACCAAAAGTTACAAGATGTTGTTTTTGAGACAATACTTTATATTTATAAGTCAAAATATGAAACTTTGATTCATTTGGTAGATGTGCAATATAATGAAAACTATCGGAAACTCTTATTTTAATTGCAAACAAACTGTATCAGATAATTTTCTCATAAATTCTTTGGGAGGCTAAAATTGAGCTCTTCCACACACAACCAGTTTGGTCCGCCATTTTTGTCGCAGACTTGAATCTTGCGTTAAATCTCACATGTGACAGTGTTTCCAAGATTATCACTTTGCTGGGGCTCAGATTTTGCACTCAGAAAATTTGAAGAATCAAAGGCCCAGGGAACTCATTTCTGACAATTTTGAGGTGCCAAAATCATATCATAATTCATATCTTTTTGATTTTGTACAAAGACACTGTAAATGAATCAATCCCTGCTGAACTGAAAAAGGTTTTGCTGGGACTTAATTCTCACTTGCTGAGGCCCAGCCCCCACAGACCTCACCCTAAAGATGAACTGATACAGTACCTGAGCATCACTGCGTAATGAAGCTATACCACCACCTCCTAATGATTTATGTAATACATAATTATAACCAGATATACCTGGTACTGAATACCTATAAATAATTATACATTGATATATATATATTACCAATAAATTGGAAGTACTATGACCAGACCCTGGCTCTAAAGACCCATGATTAATCTGTTTATGTATTTCACTGTAAATTGCCAAGCTTCAAAAAATTTATCAACACGAATTGGCTGTTTACACCCAAAGTTGTCATTTTGGCAGACGTTACATAGGAATGAACGATTCACCTTTCATGTGTCACGTTTCACAGATCATTCGTTACCCACGGAATTAACAATGTGTTTTCAAAGGATTGCTTATATAGGCGTTCATTTGATAATTTCAATCGGTTTACTTCATTTCTTGAGTGAGCTTACGAATGACATAGGTGATTTGAGGAATGGACATGTTCATTATTCATGAAGTGAACTGGGCGGGATGAGTCCAAGTGACAAATGAACGAGTTCAGCGTGAACCCTAGGTAACCCTTCAGGAAAAATGATGAGTGAATCATGACACATGAACAGTTAAAATAGGAAGAGTTAAAAGTTTATTCCCATGTAATCTCTGCCTTTGCCTATGCATCTCAATGCTCATTTTGAAACCTTCATGTTGAATGAAACCAGTTTGTCCAATACATGAAATTCATATCATTATGCTATCTTGGTAAGTGCAGTTTACTACAATGTCTTTTTCCACTGATTCACAAATGCAAGTATATTATTTCAAATGCTTGTGTTTTCTTGGCTTTTGACTATGCGACTATGCATTGCAATTTGGATAAGAAGATGTCAGTGTCCAAAATTAAGTGCTTCAGAAGATTTCACTTTATCAGTGTCACAATATTTTTTAAAGGTCAATTCATAAAATGTTTAAAGCAAAACCATACCTCTTAACTTGTGATTGAGTTAAACCTACTGAAGGGAAGACATGTTTAAAATAATCTCGAACAGCTTGTGACGTTAATGTTTCTGTGATATATGGAAGGAATGCTGGATCTCTGGCAATTACAGCTGAAATAATCAACAATATTTCTTAAATGTCAAATTGTAACCAATCATTGTACATAAATAAAGATTGCAAAATTCTCATAAAATTGGTATATCACTTTACAAATGTTATGTCTCACTTCAGATGTTGTACACAACTACATGCAAATGTTACAATAGTTGAAATTGAGATTGTGCTTTGATCTTTTCATTGTATAAAAGAGTGGGAGGAGTCTAGCTGTACTATATCTAGGTTTAAACCATGATTATAGCACCATCTTCTCTGTAAACATACATAGATAGGAGTGTGTTAAGATGTCTACACAAATAATTACTGACATATTGCAAACATGTAGCAAAATAGGTTATGGAATTTAATACAAACATCCAGTCTCATTTGTAGTCACAAGTTTAAATTTCCATGTGTTTTTATACAAACTAAATATTAACAATTCATATGTGAAACATGCTCACAAATAGATTTTTTCTTAATATTATCATGCAATGTCTTGGTGTTTCAAATTTTCAACTTTGGATTGTATCTTATATTTCTGCTTGTATAGCCAGTTCTATTACATAAACTGATGTATTACACAACACTTGCTTTGAAGTCCTTACCAATATTGGCATCATTGCCCTTATCTCCACTTCTGGTATAGGCCAGATCTACAAGTTTATAGGTTTTATCACCGGTTGTTAATGTTGTCTGGTTTGTATCTTCTTCATATTCTCTCCCTTTATAAGATTCTTGTGTATACTCTACAGTAGGTATTGATGGACATTTATACTCTTCTTTCAACTCTCCATTCATATGGATTGTTGTCTGAAAAGTAAAAAAAACATGTATAATTTACAAATACTTAAAAAATTTTGGATGCGGATGTGAAAATTACTCAGTTAATCAAAATATACAACTCAGTAATCTAAATCTATTAGATGATAATAAAATTTATAGTGAGTTGTATTGAAACCTACTCAGTAATCCGTTGATTAATCAATACAACTCAGTAATCTAAATCTATCAGATGACAATAAAATTGATAGTGAGTTGTATTGAAACCTACTCAGTAATCTGTTGATTAATCAATACAACTCAGTAATCTAAATCTACCAATGACAATAAAATCGATAGTGAGTTGTATTGAAAACTACTCAGTAATCTGTTAATTAAACAATACAACTCAGTAATCTCAATCTACCAATGACAATAAAATGTATAGTGAGTTGTATTGAAAACTACTCAGTAATCTGTTAATTAAACAATACAACTCAGTAATCTAAATCTACCAATGACAATTAAATTGATAGTGAGTTGTATTGAAAACTACTCAGTAATCCGTTGATTAAACAATACAAATCAGTAATCTAAATCTATTAGATGATAATAAAATTGATAGTGAGTTGTATTGAAACCTACTCAGTAATCAGTTGATTAAAATTGTACTCAGTAATCTAAATCTACTTATGATCTATAATAAAATTGATAGTGAGTTGTATTGAAACCTACTCAGTAATCTGTTGATTAAAGAATACTACTCAGTAATCTAAATCTATTAGATGATAATAAAATTGATAGTGAGTTGTATTGAAAACTACTCAGTAATCTGTTGATGAATGAATACTACTCAGTAATCTGTTGAATAAATAATACTACTCAGTAATCAGTTGATTCAAGAATACAACCCAGTAATCAATAACAACCAAATAGAAAGTCCATTGAATTTAAACAATTGAGACATAGATTTAAACTTACTTTAAAACTATCTCTTGGGTACAAAAATGAAAATAACTTGAGAATAGCTGATCTGGAATGTAGAATGATAAGAAGCAAATAAACACATTTTATAAAGGAAAGCACCAAAAGAAAAAAAAGTTAATTCTAGATTTAAAAATTGTATGAGCATGAGATTAAATTACTTGGTTGATTTCAAGTCCAAATTTTACGTAAAATTGTCGTATAATTTCAGCTCTACTCGAATAAGTTTGTAGCAGGTTTGCTTATGAGGTGGGGCATGTTCACCCTTTTAGAACACCTGAAGCCACACTACGACTGTGTTTGTCAATCTGTCACTTGTCAGCTGTCTCTTGGATAACAAAAAACTACTTACATTTTCGGTCGACCACCAACAATATTGCATAAACCAGGTGCTGCAAAAATAAATTTCAATGGACATTTATATGAATATCTATCATCTTGAATATAAAATATCATTACAAATAACCATCATATCGGCACACTAATATTCTCTTTAAAAAATCATCTTGTAACACCTATGGCAAACTTTAAGGCAAATTTGTTAGAGCATATTCATAAGCTACCACAATATTTGGTACTATATCTATTATTCAAGAGTACCGGCTAGAAAGAGTGCAAATTGGTAATTCAATGCCTTAGTGAGTGTATTGGAAACACGTCTTTTTGTACCATCCCTTTTTCCAGTCTATAGTTTGATTCCTGTAATTTGAGAAAACAGGACTAGTTTATGGCATCAACATGGCAACTACAGTTTAAGTCAAATGATATTTAAATTCAATGAGGTCATATTAAGGTTAAAGTGGTTCTCTTACCCATTCCAGTACCAGCAGGAGCCACTTCTCTGGAAAAGAATTCCAAAGCTTTCTTTTCATCATGTTGTACAGCCAACCATAATACTGCTTCTCTTGTTCCCTAATTAATATTCATGATAAAATTATTAACTACAATATATCTTAAATGTCCAACATCGAAAATTTTATCAAAACTGCTGACCATCAGTTAAGCTAAGAAGCGTCAAGTCAAATTCTTTCAGTTGTTATGGTTCCTTCTGTTAATCACATGGTTCAGAAGAGTAGGACGTAAAACTCCATTCATTTCATTTCATTTTCTTTCTGTTAATCTACTAGTGTAAGACCACAAATTATCCATAGACAAAATTAAAAGAAGCTAATCCTCCTTTCATTCGACTGGTCAATCATTTACAACCTGTAAAACGCGGGACCTTGATCTCTTGATCAATCTGAGCGACAGATAAAAACCAATACAAACGGGTGGACGTCATAATTCTGTAACGGATGGAAAATATTACGCTTAGTTTTGACACATAACACACATATTGGGTTGATAATGAACAATCATACCTTAGGAACTAATGAGTTAGGACCATACATATGTTCTGTACCTAATATCTCTATATTGATATCTTTAAAATCAGGTAAACTCAACTGTTGGAATATTCTTTGGCATCTACAATCAAACAACAGATATATAGTTATCAAAACCAAATGAAAGCAAGTCTTATTACTGTACCTGATTGCAATAAGAAAGGCCAAGACAAAAAAGACACAAAGAAGTGTGCAATAAGGGGAATTTTGGTTTTCAAGGTTTGGATGGCAGCCCCCCCTAACGATCATTTCTAAAGGGTACAAACCTTTTAATAATAGCATGAGCAGTTTTTTCTACTTTTAATTTGGAATGAGGTCCACCAACACAGACCACAGCTGTTGATCTAAAACCATCAGCATATGTTGCACTAACCTAAACCATACAAAAATATTGAAAACAAAATAAATATGTCAAGAAAAGTAATTGCTTTTGGTAAATTATACTGTATACTGTATTCATTATCTCTACTTCATAGTATATTATCAAATTAAGATCAATGCCAAGAGGTTTTGCCAAGGACCAGCTGATAGAAAGGATCCTCATGAACCTAAGTGGTTATCCTTGTTTGTTTCTTACGTTTTTTTTTTATTGATTAAAAGAATTGTTTAGAAACAACATACCTTTAGCTCCCCAGAAGGTGGCTTCCCTCGCGCCCCAAGAACAATAACTCTGTCTTCTGCTACTTGTTCTAATCTGACGTCTGTGAAATCGCAGACTACATCTGGTAAGAAATAATGACTAGGATCACCAACTTCATATAATAACTGTTCAGCTACGGTTGCTAGGGAGACCAAACCACCTGTTCCATGAGGTTTAGTTATAATACAATGGCCGTCACTTCCTACTTCTGCTATGGGAAATCCAATATTATCCCTGAAATGTAAAAACTTCGATAAATGGCTGCCCTAAATTAACCTTTTTATTACCAGACCATAAGACTGCATACGAAACTATATATGGTTCTTACATGGAAATAACACACACAAAAGTAGTTTACAGCCATTTTGAAAACCTTAACTAAATAAGTCAAATCTACTTTTGTAAAATTGAAGTGGAACCAGATCTAATGCAGCTTGTAAAGCAAATATGAAGATGACTATATTCATAGCTTTGTAGCTGCCCATTTCAGGTAAAATGAAAATGGAAAATGAAAAGAGCGAGATGTCTTTACCTTACCAATGTGTAACTTTATGCCAATCTGTAAATATTCCTCCAGTTACTTGTGGACCACATTCTATTAAATGACCAGCCAAACTACAAAAGAATTAACAACAATCAGGCTAAGAAAATGAAGTTATATAATAAGGTATCAAGCACAGGCAAGCTGCACCACAGTCTGTAGCACTTTTGACCTATCTAATCTATAACTCGAAACGATCTCAGCGCTAGGATGTCCTAGAATCAATGTTAGAAAATAAGAACCTAGGACATCCTAGCGCTAAGATCGTTTCGAGAATATGTGGCCTGGTTGCTTTTCATGCCCTTTCCACCAGGGTTCAATTTTAACAGTATCGCATCACAGTTTGTGAGTCAAAATGACCTCTTTTGCGATCCAATATTTCCAATAATTAGCCAAAATTAAAATTTATCATCAAATCATATTCGTAAAAATTTCTGCCAAAACTAAAAATACACTGCAAAACACAGCAGTCTCTATAAACAAACATCATTAGCAAGATCAATCTAAAGTCTTCACCTGGAACATTTAGAATTGCTACCCAATTTTTATGATATATGTCAATCAAAGTTGATTAGGTTTGATTGATTTGCCAAACTTAATTATTCAAAACTGAAATCTGGCACAACAAGTTGCTAATCAAATTTTTTATCTAAATTGAACTCTGCTCTCAAAGGATTAAAAAAAAACCATGACCTATGATAGGATCAAAATCATTACCTCTAGTGACCAAAAGGACATTATCAAAATGGATATGAAAAATAATAATCACCTGCCTGCTGCTAATAAATCAAACTGATCCATAGTCCATTGAAACTACAATACAAAACAATGAGGGAACTTTTGTCAGAAAAGCAACATGAGTCTACTCTTTCTCAACTATGCCAGGATATTGACCATGCAGCCTTTAACTGGCTTAAGTTTTCTAGCCAGCCTTTTTAACCTGCATTACTGACAGCTGAAAACCAGATTAATAAATCATGGCTGCTGCTCAGATCCATCAATCTAGATATCTAATAAATAACACAACTCTCTTTTCATATATATGGGATATCTCTCAAAACAATTTGTGAATCTGACCCGTTTCTCAAAGAACTGTACTTACATTATGAATAAGGGGAGCTAATGCTAAGGCACTATCAGCACATCTTCCTGTTATAACAACATCAGCTCCTAAATCTAAGGCACGAGCTATTGGACCAGCACTGAAAATAAAAATGATGACAGCCTGTGTTCAGTGGCGTTTTTACAGGGGGACCAGGGGCTTGAGGCTGACATAGAAGTATGTTTGCTAACATTATGGACATTCGAAAGTAATTCTTGATGGCTTTGAAACATGTAATGTATAAATCCAAGATTCTTACACAACACCACAATCTGAATATTCATTTATAAAAATCATCAGTTTGCAGCAACAAGAGCCATCAGTTTGTATCAACAAAAGCCATCAGTTTGCAGCAACAAAAGTCATCAGTTTGCATCAACAAAAGCCATCAATTTGTATCAACAAAAGCCATCAGTTTGTATCAACATAAGCCATCAGTTTGCATCAACATAAGCCATCAGTTTGCATCAACAAAAGCCATCAGTTTGCATCAACAAAAGCCATCAGTTTGCATCAACAAAAGCCATCAGTTTGCATCAACAAAAGCCATCAGTTTGTATTCTATCAGTTTGTATCAACAAAAGTCATCAGTTTGTATCAACAAAAGCCATTATTTTGTATCCACAAAGGCCATTATTTTGTATCCACAAAGGCCACCGCTTTGTATCTACTTCTTGTACATCCGTTCGAGAGGACTAGAGAGTGGAAAGAAGAATGGTCTTGTAGTGATGCTCTCCATTTGAAAATATATTCATCTATTCTATGATATAATATTTAATGAACTTGTTTTCATAAACTTGAAAGGATTTGAAATTTAGAACATACTGTCAAATGTACAACAAAAAAAGAAAAATTAAAAAAAAAAATCAATAAAAGAGTAACATGACTGTATATTTACTTACCCAAAATATGCATTCATACTATGTATACTAGAAGGCAATTGCTTCCCTGTGTGCATATCTGTTATTCCTAATTTTTCTAACTCACCCAACTAAAAAATAATGATTAAAAGACAATTAGGTCTGTATTTCTTTCAATGACTGCGTCTTGTTTTGGGCTTTCATTCATAAAATTTAATCTGTTTTAGAAAAGTCCAACATGTTTCAAGACCACAAAGGCCCCCTCTTCAGGCAAAGACACACATGAAATGTCAGTTGAAGTCACTTTCCTTGGTAGTTGCTACATCTCATGTAGTAGGAATCCAATATGGCTTCATAAAATGATGATCAATGATGAAGCAGTAGTCCAAAAGTTTAGACAAATGTTCATTAAATTAGAAGAAAACGAACCATTACACAAAGTTTTTTACAGCTCCACTTTAGTTGATCCAAATGGGTGTTTGTCACCCACCAACCCAGATTAGAACTGCCGATCGTCATTAAATCAAGCAAGTGATGTTTATAACCAACTAAACTACAGTCAGAGAACAACCTCATGAAAGTCTTGTCATCTACATTCCCTCCTCATTCCCAAACTCCAAAAAAGAGAAACCCTAAACAGATCTAACCTTTGGCATGAGATCATCTCCCTGTATAACAGCAATATTTAAATCTACACCAGATCTGTCACAGACATCTTGTAGAGCTTGACCACAGCCCATAGGATTAACACCTCCTGCATTACTGATAATCTTAATACCTGAATAAATCAATACCAAAACCAAGTTTAATGATTTCAGCTAATTCATGAATTTGAAGTGTTATGGCATTCTTAAAGGGACATTCAGCTTATTTTTGCAGGTTGAAAATTTTTTTTACTCAAATTTGTGAAAAACTATAAACGAAAATCTATAGAAATGTGTCTCTTAACTAAAAAAAATCCAATTGTTGATTTTTTAACACCAAAAATATTTTAAAAGTTTAAGTAACTTTGTTATGCTTTTGGAAAAATGTTACACAAACTACTTCACAGATCTAAGTAAACTAGATATTGTGAGGGTTCAACTAATAATATCAAGCCATTATTAAGCCAAACACCAAAACGAGATCAAACTGCTTTATTACCTTTCGTTTTTAATTAAAAAATTCAGTTTTTAGAAGTAGATACATAGATATAAATAGCATACTTTAGAAATATTTTCAGATATAATTTACAATGTTTTTGATAATGAAAATATTTTACAAAAAAAGCAGAATGCCCCTTTAAAATATAAATGGACATTTCTGGTGCTGTGTCCATGCAGTAGAAAACGGATGCAAATCCTGTTGTGACCTGATCCATTATGTGTTCCCTTAAGCTATTTTCTACTCTATCGATAATTCAACATGCACATTATCCATTACTGTTTTTAGACGGCATTGAAATCAACACTTCAATATACATAGAAATCATTTTATGTGAAATTCCACTAATTTCATATATCTATAGAATTGAGAATTTTAAAGTGATATTATGTCTTAGAATTAGCAAAAAATTTAAGAATTTTAAACTTGGCAAATAAGAGCCAGTCAATATACCTGGTGTCATAAATAACATAACAGGATCCTTATATAATCCAATAAATCCACAAAAATTAGTAATTATCCATAAATATACAATTAACTATTGAAAAACGCTTAATATTAAGATTAAGCTTTTTTCAATGATTACTTAGTTTTATGACTTTTCCAATTTTCCAGATTTTACAGGGATTCCATTGTAACTTTATGACACCAGGTAAGTTCACTGATGAATATATACTCTTATTGACCATATTTTATGTTCATTCTAAGACGTAGTATCACTTTAAGACTTATTCATCAGATGATTAAACAATTCTACCTTTCTTTTTAATATCTTTTATAAATGGTGCCATACAAATCTGTACAAAATCAGGAGCATAGCCCAATGCCTGAAAATATATTTTGAAGGAGATAAAGTCACAGGCTTTTCTCGAAGATCTTATCTATTTATAACAGAGTATCTTAAATTGACGAGACTTGGATAATTCTGGACACCCATTGATTTGAAGGCGCAAATTTCGACGATGAGCTGTGAACACTATTACTGATTATCTCAGTAATAAAATTCCAGTTTCTTAGACTAAAATATGATTGGTTAAAAAAATGGCCTACCTGTCCCTTTAAGAATCATTGAAATTCATGATTTACCATTTTATCAATTGATTATGTGAATTCTTAATATTTTCTGCTTTTGAAAATCATCACCCCCATATTTCATCACCCATTGAATGTATATTTAATAAAATAAAATCAATTTGTAGGCTATAACTTACAGGGTTTTTATGTTTAGCTGCAGTTAGAAGTGACATGGTAATTTCTGATAAATAATCAAACATTATATAATCTACATTAGAACCATAGATTAGTTGAGGAGCTGAAAAATACAAAATCAATTTAGTGTGAAAAATAATTTTTTAGAAATAACTTTGTGTGACCTAATATGAAATGAGATGTGGATATTTTTTTTAAAATAGAGAGAAATGAAGTGTTGCTCCTGAATGGGCAATGTCATGCAGTGTGCAATGATGGATATTTGCCTCGACAATTGTATTGACCATTGTCTATTTACATCTGTAAAAGAATCTTAAATGTGCAAAATCTGTAGCACTATTGTTTCATCTATAACAACTGTATGACAGGGGAGAGTCTTGCTCCTACCCAGGAACAAGCCCCTAGATTTTCGTAATGAAAATTGGCATTGTACAAATTGATGCTATCAGTGTCCCTGGTACACATAAAAAGTTTAGAAAACCTCTTTACAATCTCTATATTTAACAACCTATGTAACAGTTGTGATATAGACAATGGAAACATTATTCAAAACAAGATTTTCAGTGGTATCAAAAAATACTTTAGACTCTAAACATAATGGCCACACTTCAGGCTCCTAACAACTGGCACACTTCTATCATAAAACTACAAAGGGACTTGTACAGTTAAAACTTGTCCTGGGATACTTGAGACAATCTGTCTCATAATAATGAGGTAATAAGTCAATCATTATCAAATCATGAAGGTGTTAAACAGGCTGATTTCCCACCTGTTTACAACTTTAGCTATAAGGATAGAGTAGCCTAATCAGACCCAGACTGGGATCACTGTCACCAATGCCTAGAGTAAAACACTTCAAAGACCTATTTCAATGACTTCACACCCAGGCCAGTGCTTTCTTGGTGACCTCATTCCTCATCACAAGTTAACACCGTGTTAACTGGGTTTTATTCAGAAGCTAAAAAGTTAATGAGGTATAACAATGAAGCAAATGGCTTCCTGAAGTGCAGGTACAAGAAACTTGATCTCAATGGGATTAATTAAGACATATGTTGTGATTGTCTAGTTATCTAAACATAACAATCCGTTTATGACAGTTTGTATTTTTCATGACTTCTTTTCTGTCAGTTAGAATCAGCTCCTGTCTCAATTTAGGTGAAGTCAACTCAAGGTAAGTTTTAGAGAGAAAATAGTAACAATGTGTCCATAGTATATTATATAGACACAGCTTTATGGAACAACAATCACTGGTTAAAGTACTCACAATTGCTAAATGCCATTGAAAAAAACTTTGCCAGTAAGATATAAGAAAATTAATGATTAAGCTAATGTGAAATTTCAACATGATAATTTTATTTTTATTTTTAAGCAACTTTTTACTATAAAACAATATGGGCTTCCTTAAGTTCTTTATTGAAAGTTGTCAGCGGTACGCCAAAAAAGTAACAGAACCACAAAGAAATTTTCAATGCAACGTTAATTTGAAATTCTCAGTGCATGTTGTGAAATGTTATATTCTTCACTTTGTTTCAGTTAAAAAAATGTTTTGTGTAGATCTACAAAAATACTTTGAGTGATAAATAGTTTGAACTTTGACCTTGTCACTTTGTTTACAATTTTTAATCGACAAAGAACAAAACACACACCGGCGACTGCTGTATCTCCCCAGAAACCACACGCACAACCGATTTTCACTGTCTTCCCTCGAATCAGCTGAGAGTAGCATCTTCTTTTGTTTAATCTGTCAGGGTAATTAACCGAGTTACGTATTAAAAGCAACTTATTAAAGTTATTCAATGTGGTAATCCTCTTGCAGCTACTGAGGGCAGCCATGTTGAATTTGCTCTAATTCTGTATGCGCATGCGTGATCACATGACAGACTATGATTACTTTTGCAATATGGACGACGTTTAATGTCAGATGAAAATAAATTCTGTGACGTATAGGACATATTTTGTGGTTCTTGGTTATGTTTTAGCACTCACATAATGTTTTTTTCTTAGAACTTAGTGTAACTGTTTTTAAGGTGTAAAGGAATAAGCCACCATCATGGCTGAGACGGTGTACGGCACCATAGAAGAGGGACACGTTATGTCTGAAAAAGTGCAGTCTCTGGCTTCGACTGTTTACAAGGAATTTGAGAAAATGATACAAAAATATGACGAAGACGTTGTTAAAGAACTTATGCCTTTAGTTGTTGGCATCTTGGAAAGTTTAGACATTTCTTATATTGAGAAGCAAGAAATTGAGGTTGAACTAGAATTAATTAGAGATGATAATGAACAGTTATTGACCCAATATGAAAGAGAAAAACAGCTTCGAAAAGCCTCAGAACAGGTTTGTATACTGTAATAACCTAGTAGATCTATTGTTTATTACTTGCTTATAATAGATAATTGTATTTGAGATATTTTATCAATGAAACCTAACTTCAAATCAGAGGCTCTGATACTGGAGTGCTGTAGATAGGCCTAGTAGCTTGTGACAACTTACTGCCAGTTAACCTACAAGTCCTTATTAATCAGCTTTAAATGTCAGCTGTCACTAAGCTCATTAATGTTATTGTATCAATAAGCAGAATGATCATTGTTTCTCCTTATATATCATTTCAGAAATATCTGGAAATGGAAGATGCCATTGAAGGTGATAAAAAGAGTATGGAAGATAAAGTTGAGAGTATGGAATCTATTATTAGAATGTTGGAATTAAAGGCAAGGAATGCTGCAGATCATGGTGAGGATCAATAACAGAGATTATTTTTATAACATTTAATGTTGCTAAAATCTTTGCAAGATTGATAAAGTTTAAAGACTCAAAAGTTCAGAATGATAAGGCACCCTAGAGTAGAATTAGTACCTGGTATGGAAACTTATACTACAAAGTGATGTGAACAACATTTCAAAATTATCTTATTAGACCAATACTATGCCAACATCTATGCATTTTATAGAGGTTCCTTTTAGTTTTATCTATAGCAGCTTTTGCTATAGTGATGATGTCGTAAATCGCTTACATTTAGTGAAATTGCAAGAGCTACAGACATCTGATGAAAAATTGGAATCGTGCATAGCGATGATATCACTTATCAGTGTCTGCAATACACATGAAAAAAAATTTGAAAACCTGTTAACAATCTCTTTAAGGAGTAACTGCACATTAATTCTAGACCTTGCACACAAAGTAAGGGTCAAGAAAGCTTTGCTAATATTAGGTCAAACTGTAGATATAGTCCGGTCATAATCTAGCTTATGCAACCTGCTTGATAAATTAGCATGTTATCTTGTTTATTTTAGTCACAAGATTAGAAGAAAAAGAATCAGAAATGAAGAAAGAATATAATAAATTACATGAAAGATACACAGAGGTATTAATTATATCATTTATTCTCAACTCATTAAGTCATTTGCTTGGTTGTTTTCAAGAATGATGATTGAGAGACTTAATCCTTGCTTGTGCTTGGAAATGTGTCATGTGCCCAATCTGAAAGATGACAGTCCATTTTCAAGAGGTTTGAAGAGAATTTAACGTCCTTGAAAATCCTAGGTGTTATAGAATAGGGTCTTCTGTAAAAGAACTGGCTTAAGTCACAAGTAGAGACCATGGATTTGATCCAGTAAAAAAAACAAAATTTTTGATAAAATGATAATATTAAAAGTTAAATTTGACAAAAAATATTGTGCATCATCTCCATTTAGAATATTGAACAGCCACATCTAATCCTTTATTTTCCTTTATTGTAGTTATTTAAAACCCATATGGATTATATGGAACGAACTAAGATCTTAATGGGAACAGATAAATTAGCAGAACTCACAGGAAACAGTCCAAGAATAAAGTAAGTCGAAATGGAAATAACCGTAGTAGATTGTATAAGCTTCTATGAACTGTTCAACTTATTATGACTAGTTAATTTTATCAAACTTGCAGAGGCAGAAGTTGAAAAATCGCTCCATGCTTTTCTAGATTATCACATATTCCTCACTGTCACTAATCATTGGTCCTTTCTTTCAGGGGTTTCCAGTTGCCCAATTTACGACCAGTTAGTATGATATTGAACTCTAGTGAAACTCCAAATAGAGGTGATAATAGCCCAGTGACGTTTGATATAACAACACCTTCCAGTGGTAAAGATTCTAATGTCAGTATCAAGAGTGAACTGGGTGATTTAGAATCTGTGGATTCCAATCGACTCAATTCCACAGCACTGACGGGTGAGTGTAAAGTTGATACCAGTGATAAAGATCAGATGACTGATGTAATCAACATGGCAGATGGCAGTACTACCACAACTAATACAAGTAGGCTAAAATCTAAATCATCCCGCATTAACCTCTCCATGCATCCTCACGCTTGCCGCAAACTCATGTTTAACTCATCTTGCCTTAACCATACATCTAAAACATCCTCATCATCTCATGCTAAACTTTATCTACAACTCTCTACAGATTTTCTTGAGACTTCTGCTTCCTTTAGCTTTTTACCATTCTTTCAATAATGTTCAGGGCTTTTTTGGTATATAACATTTTAGCATCACATATTTTTTCAAATTTTCCTAGAACATTTTAACAAAAACACAAAATAAACAGTGCTAACATATAGGTAACTTACATAGCATGTGCTTATTTATTTTGGCATGTGCTTATTTATATGGCATGTGTTAATATACTATAACATGTGTTAATTGATTTTAGTATGTGTTAATTTATTTTAGACTGAATAATTACCTAGATTGTTGGTTTTAAGGTCTGTTCTCAAATTAAGTCATGGCTCTTTTAGTAATTAGTCTGTATCATTTCAAAAACAATTTTACAACATTTTGGTGCGCCATTGATGCCTGTATATTTCTGTTCAGATCTATCATGTCAAGGTCCATTTGAGCCGCTGGCGGAAATTGCAAATTTCAGTTGGTGTCCTCAAGTCCGCTGAATTCTGCAGTCCTGCTAGTGATAGGGTTGGGATTAGCCCCCGTTTATATGAAAATTTGGCTTTGCAATCACAAGGTCCCCCCTAAAATTTGAGAACAGACCTAGGTTGTTTAAATATAATCTGCATGCATCATAAAGTGCTTGGTAGCTTTCTTTTAATTGTAGTATTGTATAATAGCTTGGTTTTGTATATATATCTTCTTGCTATGGTCTAACCATATTTGATCAAAAAAGCTTAAGCCTAAATATTATTGAATATTGATTTTAAAAAGTTATATTGTTATGTATTTGTTTGTTTGTTTGTTTCTGTTTTATAAAGATAAATAAATTATGTGTGGGCTTATTTGATCAAGTATGGTTATAAAGGAATTTGTATTGTTTAATGCTTTGGTTATTTATTTCTTTAATTAATGTAATAAAATGACTTGTTTGGAGTGCTTGAAACTTGGATTGTGACTTTTTATTCTTGTCTTTTTCCCAATTGGTGTCTGTTAATCTTCTTTTGCTCTTTTTTAATCTCCTCTTACCCCTTAATCTTGGTATCTTACATTAATATGCCCGAAGTTATTTTGTGAAAAGATAAAAATGTCTTCTTATTGAGCCCATCATAAATTTTGGCAATCCGACGGAAATATTTAATTGATTTGCATTTTCACATCCCAATAGGTTATAAACATAGAGCCCGAAGTATATAATAATGCAATAATAATAATATAAGTTATCTCAAATTTAACAAATTAGATTTAAAACAGATTACTATGCATTGAAAGGGACAAGTGGGCCATTTTTTTTTTTGACCAATCATACCTTAGTCTCGGAAAACAGCAGCTTGTTTATCTAAGCCAATCAGTAGTAGTGTCCACAGCTCACCATCTAAATTTGCGTCTTCAAATCTGTGTGTCCAGAATCATCCGCGTTTGAAATTTGAAAAGACAAGTCGTCTTTTCTTGAGACCTTGTCATATATACAAAAGACATTTTTAGAAATAGGAAAAGAAATTCATAGTATGAGAAATTTTTGAAGGAATTATGCTATTTTTGTATATTTTTAGTATTTCTGAAGACTATTTGCACACATTCATGACACAAATTAACCCCCAAAATGGCCCACCTGCCCCCTTTAAAGTTCATCTCAGAAATGAACTAAATGCTGATTGCTTTTAAGTATAAAGATTCTGTAATTAAAGCTTCAACTTAAACAGTCAGATTACAGAAAGAAACATGTTAAACAATTTGTATATAATGACTGTTTTGTAAGAGAAATTCATCGAAAAACGTTTACTGCATTTATAGTAGCATGGAATATTAAAATATGGTAGAAATCATTAAGCATTTGAGTAACCTTGTGATTACGAAACACATAATTAAGTAATAGTAAGATTAACCCTTGGAACACTGAGTATGAATCAAATGACCTATACTCTTAACCTCAACTAGTATGTAATTATGTTGCCAGTAGAGCTGCTGCTATTGTTGAAAGGGATAATATACAGAAAAAAGCATTGATAAAGTTTGTTGATTCTAATCTCTAAAAGTAAAATTTATGCCAGTTAAAGGGATTGTAAAGAGGTTTTCTAACTTTTTTATGTGTATCGGAGACACTGATAGCATCAATTTGCACCATTCCAATTTTCAATTAGACATTCCTGCAATTCCACTAAAATTAAGGATCTAATGATGTCACTAATTGCAAAATATGCTTTATCACTTAAAGCTCTTCATGATTAGTGATGTCATCAAACATTTAGTTTTAATTGAATATCAGGAACAACAGATGTCTGTTTGACAATTGGAATGTTGCAAATTGAAGCTATCGGTGTCCCTGATACACATAAAAAATTTCAGATCCCTATGATAAAATTTGTTGTTTCTAATATCTGGTAAAATGAATGTCAGTTAAAAGTTTTGATATCTTTGAAAACAAACTGGGATAATCATCTTCACAACAATATTGCATAATGGGGTATTTTTTTTTATCCCATCTTTTGGATAAGGAGCCCAAGGCATATGATGAAACCTTGATGTTCTAGTGATAGAGCTTAGTTCATTGTGTTCAAGGATATTTGTAGGATTATAACTTTATTGTAACCTATGTTGCTTGAGGCCTTAAGATTAAAAAATCATGTGTTTGAATTGTTTTGAGAATAATATAACATGGTCATTAGGCTGAAATACAATATGTTACAATCAGATCATGAGATTTAAATACCAATTTTCTCATAGACACTTTGTAACACAAAGTATAAAGAAAAAGAAAGGGTTGGGAAAGAGGTTTGGGGGGCAGGGTTTGTAATCGATAGGCATTTAAAGGGACAGGGTTTATTTGAGTCTTGAATAAATGTAAATAGTCTTCAGAAGTACAAGAAATGTATGAAAATCGCATAATTCCTTCATAATACTTCAAATTAGGAATTTTACTCAATGTTTCTATCCATGTCTTTTTATAAAATGAGCAGTTGTTGAGTGATTACAGATGAGTTTATAACTACTAATATTATCATTCTATAGAGAATCTCTACTGTAGGCTGTATGTTATCAATCACCTACCTCCTAAACATTAACATACCTTGAAACATATAACATTATATGAGACCCACCCAAAACAAATCTTAGACTCTTGGTCCTTATTCACAAAAACTTAATTTAGGTATTAAGGGGTGAGAGACGATATCGGGTCAACTCTCAGAGGGCCAGGCATCAGAATTTTTTTTCCCTTGAGGAGTCAAACCCACGGCACCTAATTGTCTGGTAAATCCAACTCCATTGCAAGAGTATAACAAAGACTAGTTAGGTTTTTGTGAATGGGGCAGAAGAATTGAGTTAAGCGTTCCCTTCAAAAACCCTTTCTTGTCCCATTGTCTGCATGCTTTTTATGGATTTTTTTTTCAAGAGATTAAAGTTTTGGTCAGGAAAAATATATATTCGTACTTAAGATTTGTGGGGCTCCACATTTTAAATTTTAAGCTAATGAAATTGTATTATTTGCATTCAAAGCAGATACACGACACTGCTGTTACAAAGATCAAAACTTTTAATCTTTTGATGGTTGGTTTTAGTTTTTATTTAGATTTTTGTACATTCATTTTGTTTATTTTGGTTTTTGTTTTTTGCTTCTTTTATCAGAAAAAGCTTCAGATGTTCCTGCACCTTCATCAACCATTCCACAACCCGAATCAGTTGACCCAGTCACTGATGATACTGTAGATTCATTATCTCATAATAACAATACACAAAAACCAGAATCAGTTGATCATAAACTCAAAACAGTTGAACATAAACCTGAATCTGTTAAACATAGACCGGAATCGGTGGCAAAAAGACACCATTCTAGTGGTTCTAAATCAAACTCTAAGAAAAGAGTATCTAGTAATTCAAGTTCAAAATCTAAAGAGGAAGACCCCGATGCTGCTTTATTTGCCCGTCTGCACAGTCTTGAGTCAGATGGCTTTGAAGAAGATCCTATTGATGCTGGTGAGTCCACAAATAAGTAACAAATCATGAAGCCACCCTTTTTGGTAGGTCCCTCCCTGGGTTGCAAAGGTGGAGGTGTAATCCTAGGAAGGTTCATCCCTAAGGTCAAGGTATATTTGGGTGTGTGTTGGGTACCTTTTATCATATTTCATATCATCATCATAGCACTCAAGATGTGATATTTTAATACATGTACTTACTAATTGAAATAGAAAAAAAAACTGCAAAAAAATAATGACACACAAGCTAGAAGCTTTCAGCCACATTTTTGTGCTTTTTCACTGCAATCATCATTGCTGCCATATTGCTGCTTACAGTCGATCCAACGTGTGTGCAGTGTACTGTCACGCCATAAACCAATCTTTATGTTATTGGTGTACATGTATATGTTTTTGTCTATGTATTTAAAATGCTCTAGAATTTTTTTGAAATATTGAGACCTAATCTGAAATATTCTTGACAGATGGCGTTGCTTGATTGGTGAGTTCTGTACGTTTTGATCTAATGAATCAATCGTACATTTAATAAAACAAGTTGGAATAGAGTTCAGAACGCATTCATGTGTGCAAAAAACAAGTAACTGTAGACAGAATTCAAAATGGCTGAAACAGAAATAGAAGGGAAAAATTTGGAATGTGACATCACTGCTTTACCATTGGATTGAGGCCAGACAAGGAATCTGTACAGAACTCTTCAATCGAGCACCACCACGTTAGCCTGTTAAGGAACTTTTCACCAATGCATTGATAGCTTTTAAATACACTTTTTTGACCTTTTGATAGAAAATGATTACATTTGAGGCCTAAATTTTCAAGAATTGTGCTATGAATATGAAGGTACCGGTAAAGAAGTAGATTTCAATATGAGTGGAATCAAAAACATAAGAACTGTTGCACTTAAATGTATTTAATGACTTCTGATACCATATAATAAGATTTTTTTTCAATTTTCTTTTCTGCTTCCTTTGGATTTTGTTTGGTAAGTGACTGCAAAACAAAATTTCCTTTACATTTGACAGAAGTTTTGGAACAAAGAGTATTGCATCTGTGTGAAATCTTGAATTTGATCGTTGGTAAAATTTTCAAAAATTGTATAGGAAAACCAAGGTTTTGAAAGGAAAATTTAACTGAAGTCATATTTTGAGGTATGATTATTGATTATTTTGTAGGATTAACTGATACTATTGCATCAATAGTTGCCTCAACACCAGAACTTGATGATAATAGTGAATTTAATAGAACTAATCAAGTAGCTAATGATTCAGGGGCCAGAAATAGGTATGTTATTCTTTATTCATATGGTGAAAGGGCTTGAAGTTATACCAAACTGACTTTTAATTTTGTATGCCATCCGTTTAAAAATGATAGCAATTTGAGCCATTCCAATTTTCAATCAGACGTCTGTGGTTCTAGCGATTCTACTAAAACTAAGGGTTTAATAATGTCACCCCACAAAGGTCTTATGTGATACAAGCAAATTTTGCAGGGGTGACATCATATAACACTTAGTATTAGTGGAATTGCAGGAACCACAGATGTCTGATTGAAAATTAGAATGGTGCAAATTGATGATAAGCATTAAAAATTTAGAATTCCTCTTTACAATCCCTTTAAGAAATGGCATTAGCATCAGAATTTTTCAGGATTAGAATCTGGCATCTAATTGCCAAGTCTTAATCACTATCAACAGAGTTATTCTACTGCCTATGGACTAAGGATGAATTTAGGAATATAAAAACGGAACCTAAATCATGTTGTCACTCAGAGTTTTATGTTATGTGATCTTCAGACCACTGACCTATTTTCAGTCTGCGTTCCTATTGAAGTATATGGGTGTGTTTATATAAAATTCTCATGCATTTGAGTCATGCAAGTTGTCTGGTGCTGTCAAAATGTTTCATATTTTTGGGCTTCATCAAAAGTTAGCTTGTATTGGAATGGAGATTTCAGGACACACATTAAGCACAGTAAGGAGACTGACTGAACTAGATCGGAACATCAACACTTGGTATATTTTACATTATAATATTATCATAAATATTTTTCTAACTTGTTTGTTTACCAGTGAAAGTTGTGTATATTATGATGCTGATGCTTTGTATTTGATTAAAGTCTATTCTCTGTCTATTTCAGGGGTAAAAATACTATTTATGATGAACTGGCTGTATCTAGTGGTGATATGATAGCTGATGTTGATTTCGGAGCAGACATTACTGGTACGTCTATTTCAGTTTAGTCAAACCCATAAAGCTGCGATAAATCCTGTCCAAATCCTTAGCAAATCCAATGTTCGTCTTACATGAGTCCACAAACTCAACATCTCTGTAAACACGAAGGATGGCTCAGTGAGTGATTTTTTGTGTCAGCAGACAGCTAGCCATAATTGCCATAATTGCAGGAATCCCTTTAATATTAATGAATTATGTAATTTGTGATAAATGTATCAATGAGATTAATAACATGCGATGGATAGTCAGGAATCATGGTACTGTTTCTTAAATTTATCTCACAAATTATTGTCTGTGAGTTATTGCCCTTGTTTTCCAAAATCCATTTGAAGTCTAATCGTAAGCACCATATACAGCTATATCTGTACAAATTTTCACAAAACCACGTAGAATAATGATAATGATTCCAGCTATCTTCACAATGTCAAGCTATTACTTACTCAGTCTAATACCTCGACATCATTAGGCACTTTGCTTGTATCACGGAAGTTTGCAAGTCAGTGTAAATAGCCCTCGATTACATGCACTTCCAAATTTTCAATATTCTTTCTGTCAAGGGCTCTGTATTCACATGTGCACAATCCAGTCCATTCTGCATTTATAAACTTCCATGATTCAAGAATGGTGGCTATTGAAGTCAAGGTATTAGAAACAGTTTGTAATATCCTGTCATTGTGAAGATGGGATTCAGCTAACAAAATTAATTATTTGTAAAGATATAAAATGACAAAAAGACATCCGATGGAAATGTATTTATTTTTAGAAAATCCCATTAAGACATGCTGAGCTGTGTTTAATAGTGTTTTGTAGTATAAAGGTCTATGAATCTATTAAGTATAAAATGATGACTTCAAATCAATAATAACAAATCATACTTGATACTTGACAGCTGTAACATTTCTATTGTCTTGAAATATTATTTTTACATGTTATTTACAAACTTTTTTAACAAATTCCTTATAAATCATAACATTCAAAATCTGTTAAAGTCACAGTGGCTCAGTAAGTTAGATGCTAAAAGGGACATTCCACTTTTTTTGTCGATCCCACAATTTTTTTAGCTCAAATTTGTGAAAACTATACTCCAAAATCAAGTGCCTTTTACTGGTATCTGAAAGTTTTAACTAAAAAAATCCAGCTATTATTTTTTAAAAGGCCAAATATTACTTAAGTTTACACTAAACTGCTTAATTAACAATTAGTACTTTCCGTTTTTAATTAACCCTTTTAAAACAAATTCAGTGTGATCAAGATGATACAAAGATATAAATTAGCATACTTTAGAAATATTTTCAGGTATAATTTACATTTTTGAAAATGAAAACTTTTTACTAAAAAGCAGAATACCCCTTACGGTCAATATTTAAATCCAGCATTGGTCCACCTTCAGATTTTTCTTACTGGTTTTCCCCCCTGTCGATGATCCAGGTCTGACATAGAAGAAATGGGCTACTGCCTCTGTCCCAGCAAAACATTTCCTCATTGCACACTGCTTGGTGTTGCTTGTCTTCATTAGCCAGATTAAGAGCAAAAAAAATAGGTCATAAGAAATTTAAGCATAACCTGAATGGCTCAATGAGCTAAGAGCATGTTCATTTACCTGGGGGTCTGGATTCAGGCCTGCTTAAAGTCAAATGATGCCTTCAGATTTTACACCTCATTTAAGTTTTACAGACAAAAACATTGTGCAATGAGGGAAATTTTGTTAGGACAGTGTAATCAACCCTCTTATGTTCAGTTTGCAATATCTTCAGCTTGCACGGCTTGTAGTACATGAGTCCACTCCCAACAGCCTACTTTACATACAGAAAAATTGGTAAAAAAAAACCCAGAGATCGAACCTTTAACCTCTACCGATGATCCTTGTTCATGATGTAATACCAGCTGTAGGCCCTAAATCACAATTTACAGCAACTTAATAAGAGTTATTTTTTTGTTGTATTAACAGGTCGTGAAGTAAATCCTGGAGATTATGCTTCATCAGGTAGAGTAGACCTCTTTTATTTATCTATCTCTCATTCTAATTCTATCTCTCTATCTATTCATTCTTACTTTCTTTCATGCATGTAGTTTGTTCAGTTCTTAGGTTCCATTTGAAATTATTTTGAAAGTATTGTTGTACATATGTATTGTGTTGTTTTTTTGATTGAGCTCAGTATTGTGTTTTAGTGATAGAGATCAGTATTTTGTTTTAGTGATAGAGATCAGTATTGTGTTTTTGGGATAGAGCTCAGTATTGTGTTTTTGTGATAGAGCTTAGTATTGTGTTTTAGTGATAGAGATCAGTATTGTGTTTTAGTGATAGAGATCAGTATTTTGTTTTAGTGATAGAGCTTAGTATTGTGTTTTAGTGATAGAGATCAGTATTTTGTTTTAGTGATAGAGCTCAGTATTGTGTTTTTGGGATAGAGCTCAGTATTGTGTTTTTGTGATAGAGCTCAGTATTGTGTTTTTGGGATAGAGCTCAGTATTGTGTTTTTGTGATGAGATCAGTATTTTGTTTTAGTGATAGAGCTCAGTATTGTGTTTTAGTGATAGAGATCAGTATTTTGTTTTAGTGATAGAGATCAGTATTTTGTTTTTGTGATAGAGCTCAGTATTGTGTTTTTGGGATAGAGCTCAGTATTGTGTTTTTGTGATAGAGCTCAGTATTGTGTTTTTGTGATAGAGCTCAGTATTGTGTTTTTGTGATAGAGCTCAGTATTGTGTTTTTGTGATAGAGCTCAGTATTGTGTTTTTGTGATAGAGCTTAGTAGTGTGTTTTGGGGATAGAGCTCAGTATTGTGTTTTTGTGATAGAGCTCAGTATTGTGTTTTCTTGATAGAGCACAGTATTGTGTTGTTTTTTTGATTGAGCTCAGTATTGTGTTTTTGTGATAGAGCTCAGTATTGTGTTTTTGGGATAGAGCTCAGTATTGTGTTTTTGTGATAGAGCTCAGTATTGTGTTTTTGTGATAGAGCTCAGTATTGTGTTTTCTTGATAGAGCACAGTATTGTGTTGTTTTTTTGATTGAGCTCAGTATTGTGTTTTTGTGATAGAGCTCAGTATTGTGTTTTTTGTGATAGAGCTCAGTATTGTGTTTTTGCGATAGAGCTCCAATTATGTTTGCTATTCAAAAATTAAGAAAACAATATCTTGATATGTATGGGTAAAGGGATAATAGTTTATTTCTCATTTAGTCCAGAATGGCCTCAGATACAAGCATATTACGTTAATCTTATTTAATTTTCTCCTCGTCCCCCCAACAAGAAGCGAGTGCATCAAGTTGTTTTGTAAGTTTCTTTAAAGGGATTGTAAAGAGGTTTTTCTAAAAAAATTTATGTGTGTCGGGGACACTGATAGCTGTAATTTGCACCATTCCAATTTTCATTCCGATGTCTGTGATACTTGCAATTCCACTAAAACAAATGCGCTTTATGACATCACTAGAGGGAAGCTACCAGAAGCTACTATTTCTATCAATGCAGTTCCCTTCTAGTGACGTCATAAAACGCGTTAGTTTTTACAATCCCTTTAATGTCAAATGTGCAAAAGTGAGACCAAAACCGCCATAATTTAGTGATTTAATTCTTAATTTTAGGCACAAAATTGTCCATTAGTGTTGGGAAGCCTAATATCATGATTATTCCACATCATTCATTTCTTTGGGTTGTTGTTTCACCGGGTTCGCACAGCCTTGAAAAACCCTTGAATTCCGTCCGTTGCCTTGAAAAACCTTGATTTCAAAAAAAGTCTTTGAAAACACCATAAAAAACCCATTTTCTCTTGAAAAGTCCTAGAATTTTGAGTTGAGTCAAATTGTGTATATTTTTATCATTAACCCCATTGACAAATATTAACTATCTTTATTGATTTCACAGTTCAGAAGTTACGTACATGTGTATTCTGTCAGACTAATATCCTTGAAAAGTCCTTAAAGTTCAAAGCCCAGAGTCCTTGAATAGTCTTTGAATTTTTGAGGCAAAGTGCTGTATGAACCCTGTTTCAAATATTCTAACTAACATCTTGAACTTTCTATAAGACAACTTAAAGCTTTAAAATGATAACATCATAATTCAGGATGATATTTCTTTATTATATTTCTTTTTCTTTGCTTTAATTGTGCATTATGATTTGAGTAGAAATTAGTTGCATTTCATTAAAATTATGTTTCAATAGGAATATTTATGGCCACCTTTAATAATGTTCCAGATTTGGAATGCAATGTATGAAAAGTAATCTTTAATTTCAGCATGGAAGTTTTTCTTGTTTTTAGTCTTAATGGGTTTTCTTTTTTCTTATTTTCTTTGCATGTTGTTTGTTTACCTGTTGATTGTTGTTTACTGTTGTTGTTGTTTACGACATGGCAGATGATGAGAAAGATGATAAAGAATCAAATGGTATGCAATTATCTCCCTTTACTTTCTGTGCTTCCATTGAAATCTCAATGTCTGCTGCACTTGATGTTTTTCTTACCTCCTTTCCGATTTTTAGTGGAGAGCAATCAAAGAAAGAATGAGAGTATACAGTGAGACTATATTATGTTAATAGTAGATTAGATGCTAAATTTTTCTTGTTCATTACATTGATTGCTTTAGAGTACTTTAGACAGAAACTTAAACTTTGCATTAAAGAAGGCTTTTACATCTTATTGACTTGAAATGATAAGTGAAAAACTGACTTTAAAACTAGTGGCATGAGTTATAGTAAATAATTGGTTACTAATATAGTGTTGTTTTTATTTTTTATCTTGCATCGTGCCCCTTGCCTGCCTGCTGTATATATTGGATTTTACAGTTAGTGATAATTTCTTTGGTAAGATATTTTGCTGCTTACATTTTTGTTCAAGATATTTTTGTGTAATGAAAACATTAATAAGAAACACAATTTTCACTCTAGATCGAAGGTAGATCAAGATCAGTTTATCAGGAAACCAAATGTTTAGCTCTAAATAACAAACAACAAACCATTTATACAAGGATAACAACTTCACAAGGATCTTTATTACTAGCTGGTCCTTGGCTAAACCTCCTTGATTGATCTTTCCTGTATATTCGTACTTAAATCCTTATCTTCTAATTTTAGGAATGGGTAAAGAATTGGAGAATTTGATCTTAGAAAATACAGAACTTTTAGCCACAAAGTAAGTCCAATGATGCCATGTGTTCAGAAAGTTCAAAGTATTTGAACTATTTTAAGACTTAGTCAAGAAGTTTCTATGGAATAAGCACAAATTTAAAAAAAGTGGTTTCACTAAAATGCTTACTGTGGTATATGTGGTGAGAGTCTAATCAAGTTTATTCTTTGGATACACCTGATGCCACACCATGACTGGCTTTTTCAATCCTGAGTGTCAACAAGAGAGTCCACATGGCCAATAATGCTTATTTGGTATATTTGTGATATATTATTGTTCAGTAGGGTCGCAGGCTGAAATGGGTCAGTTCTCTGAAGATCGCATAGCATGAAACTCTGAGTATATATTTTTTTATTTATTATTATGTTATTGATATATGTAATGCTGTCCTATATTGTGCCCGATTATGAACAAAATTACTTTTTGTCATATACTTTATATTTTAGAAATGCTCTCAATATAGTCAAAGATGATCTCATAGCTAAAGTTGATGAACTAAGTGGGTAAGTACTTTTAAATCTTTTATCAATTTAGTAATGACATTAAAGTTGGGGTGTGCATTGGTTTACAAAGCACATTTTGGTGGTTGCACTAATGAATAACAAAAAACAATTCTTTCTTCGTTTATTATTATTGATTATTATCATTATGGAAGTAAAAAATTGTGCTCCATTATTAATAATATCTCTCATAGGAATATTATTTTTATTCATGAGAACACAGAATACTGATCAAACAATTTAACATAGATACACAGAGAGGATAAGTTCGGATAATGCCTTGCATGCCAAAACCATCTTGTAGCTCATATACTGTAATACAACAAGGTCTTGCATGCTAAGGCTGTTAAAATTAAAGATGCTATGACAGACAACAAAATACTAAATTAATGTCACTTGCCTGCTGCTTGACATTGCTCATCTGGTGTAAACATACTGAATCAGAAAATAAGTACTGGTAACCACTCCATTTTCATTTCAATTCAATTCATGTCGGCCTTTTTAAGATAGAAATTAAAGATGGGTTCCCTTATTTTCATTTATGAAAATGAAAATGCTAATACATGTCCATAATGAATTCATTATTAGCTAAATTAGAAGAGAATTACCAGCAGAATTCCAATGAGTGACCGATCAAGAAAGGTCAAAAAGTATTTTTTTGTTTATCCAGACTGTACATACACAGACATTTATGATTGGTTAAAACTCTTAATTATATGCAATAAGAACATAATGATATGATGAAGAATACATGATAATTCATTAGAAAGATCAATTAATCAAATAGTTTGCTTAATTTGACACTAAAATATAAGGTACCCCATCTTTAAGACTCGTCTAAAAACGTACTATATTTGAATTAATTTGTTTATTTAGTGAACAAGAAATATTAAGAGAAGAAATAACATCACTGCAGGCAGTGAAAGGAAGATTACAGCTGAGAATATCTACACTAGAAGAAGAATTAAAGAAAACTAAAGAAGAATTAGAGAAGAAGAGTCAACCTGCATCAACTGAAGAAGAGGTAGATTGTTTTTGTTATGAAGGCATTACTGCTACCAAACTGAGACTATGTGTGCTTTGGTTTTTAAAATATTTGAGTGTAAGGAGCAATGAAAAAATCTTTTTTTTATTCAGACCCTGCTTGAAAATAACGGTGCGCCATTTTTTTACCAATTGTACTTTAGTCTCAGAAACGGGAATTTTTTTAAGTTATGCCAATTAGTAATAGTGTTCATGTCTCACTGTTGAAATTTGAGCCTTCAAATCCATGTTTGTCCAGGATTATCTGTATTTCAAGTCATATTTTCTTGAGACACTGCCATATAGAAAATACATCTATAGAAAGAGGAAAAGAAATTCCTGGTTTGAGATATTTTTGAAGTAGTTATGTGATTTTTGTACATTTCTAGTACTTCTGAAGACTATTTATATATCTCAAATCATTGGGCATTGTTTTTATACAGTTTTTTACTGTTTATTATGGGGAATTTACATTTTTCTGTACAGGACTTGCATCTGTCAGTTCACCTTTCCAAATAAAAATTTGACTTGACCTGTGGTTTGTCAGATTTTATACTGTAAGGTCCTTGTAGTCAGATTTCATCAACTGGTGAAGCCAGTTTATTTAGATCCCTCAATTAATGTGTTTATTATGATATAGGGAGATGTACCTATGGCTCAAAGAAAGCGATTTACTCGTGTTGAAATGGCGAGAGTATTAATGGAGAGAAATCAGTATAAAGAAAGGTTAATGGAATTACAAGAGGCAGTCCGATGGACAGAAATGATCAGAGCTTCCAGAGAACATCCAGAACTTACACCCAAAAAGAAATCTTCAATCTGGAATTTGTAAGTACATTTTAGGTTCCTGCACTGCACCTTTTCTTTGCCATACCTATCTGAGAAATCCACAAAATGAGTTTTTTTTAAACAGAATAATTCATAAGCTCACATAGTTGTGGAATTTGATTAAAACGCAGATCCAAAAGCTTTTTTTCTTGTTTTTTTGTGGGTGCAATGCAACATATTATGTTCTTAGCCAGCAAAAAACGAATCGAAAAACATGCTCAGTGAAATATTTACTTACGAAATTTCTTGAAATTCTAGAAAACTGTAAACTTGTATTGTTAGCCAACTTTTAACAGTTTGGTTAGCAAAAATCTTGGATAAGTTTTGACTGCATTGTGTAATTAATAAATTTCTTCAGATCAAGCATGGCAAATTGAATCACCCTGAAATAAACACAAAACAAAGCATGTCAATTGGCATTTTAATCAGATTAAAAGAATGCAAAATGTCTCAGATATTTTGGATGAAATCAAAGATGTGCACTACTGTATATAATTGTTGTTGTTTTAGAATTTAGCTAGTACTAACATTATGTCCTATCACAAACTACCGAAAAACATTGACATAGTATATAAGCTAATACTCGTTACTAATGCAAGGGTTAAAATAATAAAAAAAACTGCCCTTGTGTGCTACTGACAAAGATCCCTTGATGAACAATAAAGTGTACCATCAGACCGCATAGTCCGGAACATCTGCCTCTATTCCAGCCTCTGATAGCTATTTTGACAGTTATCTGCTATATATAGATATTGTGAGATATTTCCACACCTCCAAGGTGAAGGGGTTTTAAACATATTTTTTTTGGAGGTGAATAAACATGTAATAAAAACAGAGCCTAGTTTTATAGCTATTAGAGGCTGGAATAGAAAAGCTGTTTCAGACTACATACTGCAAAAAAATTCCAATTATGTGACCTGCCACCTTCGAATTATTTCAATTCCTCAAATTTTAAAAATATGTTGTTTGAAAAAGTAGAAAATCTTTATTTTGGTGAAGGTAATTACAAGATGTCTATCTTCTCAAGTGGCCTGCGTGTTTATTTCTGCCAAAAATTAATAATGGCTATAACCAATTATACTAAAACAAAATTGAGATAAGCATGATAAAGAAAATCGTTGAACAATTAACTGCATGTCTGATTTGTTCTATTGCATGTTTAGTTTCAGTAATTTGGTAATTTCGACTCCACCTGAACCACCCGCCAATCCTAAAAAGATCTCCTCCAAGACTCCTGTGGCTTATCAGGCGCCGCCACCATCGTCTTCTTCTTCCGCCCATCACAAATCACACATACAACATTTATAGCTTATCTAATTGTTAGGAATTTTAACTCAATTTGGTTTCGTTTGATTGAGATGGTCAGCGCTAATTTCCTAACATCATATATTTTTTCATGATCTATCAAGGGTGTACAAGCCTTAGCAATAATGAACCCTTGATACAGCAAACATATTTTGGTATTTGAAAGGAACTTGCCTTTATGCTTCTTATTCAATTGAGAGAGGTTTTATGAGGTTTTCCAGTTTTTCTATGTGCATCAAGGCCATTTATAGATTCAATTTGAATACAATTTTCTGTTTTATTATAGAAATGCTTAACCCTTTGAACCCTGAGTGTAAATGAAATAAAACGTCACATACCCTGACCTCCCAATTAATAAAAGTAAAAGTGTATGACATTAACGTTGTATGATGTCACCTAGTAACAACCGGTTAACAGGCTGCTCGGGTATATATTGCGTTAGTGTGGCCAGTTAACCGGACGCTAGGGTTGAAAGGGTAAATGGTGAATGACATCACTATTGCAAAAGATGCTAATAATATCTTAGGGCCTTTGATGTATCAATAATAATTGTACTGGCTATAAGTTAATCTAATGGCCTGAAAAGCAGAGAAAAAAGAAAAGAAAACCTTATTACAATCTCTTTAAAACAGAATCAAATGCAATAATTAATATGGATAAATCTTAAGATGTCCTATTAAATGTATTTGTTGAATCAAGGGTCAGATATCAAATAAGCTTCTCTACTGTTGATAAATCAAGATATATTTATTTTACCTTCTCCTTGTTTGTTCTTCTGTTTTGTTATTCTCTTTTAGTTGTTTCCGTTTTTAGTCCCTACACAAATGTAATTGATTTCAAGGATTTTGGAATTTTCAAATAAATGTCAATTCCGAACTAGTTCATTTGTATTTTTAAAAAAATGAGTTTTTCTTGTTACAGAGAGTTTTGACTTCCTTTCAAATAAAAAGGGTTTTTCAAGAGCTTGGGTTTAGGAATTTTTCACAGAAAATATAAATGAAATGGGGTGAAGGTATTTGATTTAAACTGCAAATGAATGAAACTTTTTCAAGAGTTCTTTTCAATGAACTGAAACAGAAAAAAATTTAGCTTTTGAATTCATTTCTAAAATCGGACATAATTTTAACTCAGGAATTTATTTTACATCAATTCTTATTAATTAAGATTCCAAATGAAATGGTTTTTAAAACATTCATTCAAAAGATAAACGATCATCCTTTTTGTGTACTTGTGTGTCTTCCTTCCTTCCTTCCTCTTAAGTTTCCATTGATTTTGTCTTTTCTTTTTGTTCAAGCTTTCAGTCTGACCACTGATGCAGTGATATTTTGTGCCATTTTAACTCAATACTCAAAAGTGCTGCTCACCATCAGAAAGTGGATGTTTGTGTGTTTGTTTTTGGGAGAAATGCATGTTGAAGGACCAGTTGAAAGAAATGTCCACAATTTGTGGGAATTCTCATTATTTCCTATGATATTGTCTTGCTTGTAAACAGACTTAGTCATTTTCCAGTCTCACATGTTTTGGTTTTAAAACTTGAATATTTTATAACATTCCAGGCTGATTCAAAACAAAACCACAAGCAGTCCATTTTATTAGGAGGTAGAATAAGTAGTAATTAAAATTGAATAAAACAGATATATATCAAGACCATTACTACCTATACTACCTTAATATAGACTGCTCTTGTGTTGATAGTTCTGAGATATGCACAAATGTCTTTCATAATAATGCAATAACTTCAGCAAGTTTTGTCCAAAATAAGATATGATTTGATATGACAAACTAAAAGCAAAGAATAATAATTTGCATTCCCATTGATAATATGCTAAATTTGGAATGAAGATAAGCTTTAAAATTTTGAATTATCATACTGTTCTGGATTATCATGAAACTGTACCATTCCATCTTTCTGATTAATAGTTATAACTTATTTGAAATTATAGTGCAAAGTTCTAAAATTAGGTCAAATTTTATGCTATAACAAAATATTCTTATTCTAAGTTTTATTTTAGAAAGTTATACCTCAATATTTTTATTATAAAGTGATAGCTCAAATTTTATATTATAAAGTGATAGCTCAAATTTTATATTATAAAGTGATAGCTCAAATTTTATATTATAAAGTGATAGCTCAAATTTTATATTATAAAGTGATAGCTCAAATTTTATATTATAAAGGGATAGCTCAAATTTTATATTATAAAGTGATAGCTCAAATTTTATATTATAAAGGGATAGCTCAAATTTTATATTATAAAGTGATAGCTCAAATTTTATATTATAAAGGGATAGCTCAAATTTTATATTATAAAGTACCGGTAATGGTTTATGATAAAATAATAGCAGATAAATGAAATAATAATATTTGTGTTTAGTTCGGGTTTTTAGTTATAAAAGATAATAATATGAATTTATATAACTATGATATTTTTTATATGTGATATTATGATTTTAGCGCTGACCTCCATCTAAACTTATATTTTAATTTTTTTCTCATCTCACTTTTCTACAAATCTTACATTTTATGAATACTTTTAGATGTTGTAATTATCTTCAGAGGCTAGAAAATGGTCTTTAAGTGTACTCAGGCTATTGTTGTTAGAGAGGGCAGGCTAACCTGATACCACTCTGCAACTCGAATTGCATCACTTTCAGAGAGTCCACATAACTAATATCATTGTGAACCTAAAAACCAAAAAACAGCTTAATGAGAACATATAATTGACAAATGAAAATAGTCTGTAAAAGACCTTAGATACAAAAAAAATGTGGTTAAAAGAACTAAAAATGAAATAGCAAGATTTTTTGATAACATTATTTTTGGTGTGTGATATAGCATCTTCATGTTGTCAAGCTATTATGAACTACCTCTAATACCTTGACTGCAATAGCTACTATTCTTGTATCACAGAATGCAGCAATTTGATTAGATTGTACACCAGTGAATAAGTAAGTGTAAATGGGGATTATGATGGCTATATTTGTTAATGTAATTATCCAAATAAATGGCTGCATTTGCAAACTTCTAGATACTATGTTTGTGACAAGAGTCATACCAGAGCTAGTTAAAAATATCATCATCTACACTAACATAAAGACCTCATTTATATTTGTCTATTTACCATTTCTGCAAACCATCCTTTGATCTCCAAATTTAGAGGAATATATTCCTATCAATACACTGTACATTTTTAAAAGATTTTTATAAGCTTGAAGCATATTTTCTTGTTGTGACATGTTTTGATAGAAAAGTGAGATGAGTTCTAAAACTTGTAAAGCCAATAGGGATCTATCTGTAGGTCAATTGTCTCCTTCCTATATCAGGCATCCTAGCAATGTCAATATACTCATTAATTATTCGCATAATAATCACTTTTCATTACAGCATTAATTACTCATTACTTTGTGCCTTAATTTGAAAGTTTCATTTTCAGGAATTTGGGATCTTAATATTTATCATCATTAACATTTCAAGCATCTTACTAATCCAATATCAAAATTTAAAAGCCTCATGAAAAATATTTAAAAATGCTAACTGTATCCATCTTGCATGTAGACATTGCTTAGTGTGATTCTTTTGTTGCACTTGTTTTGCCATTTTGATCTACAGTCCCGATCCCTATTGGTTCCATTTGTTTGTGTTTTGTTAAAATTTTGTTGATTTTTTCTGTTATTTTTAAGTTGTGAGAGGCTTGATATCCCGAGTAACCCTGAAATTTTCTAGCTAAATTCATGGTCTTGTATTTGAAGGTTGACTTCATGGTCTTAACTTGAAGGCAGACTTCATGATTTATAATTTGAGGATTAACTAAATGATTTAAAATTCATCATCTATAATTTTCTGGATCAAGTTCATGGTCCTAAATTTGAGTCTTAAAATTGAAGGCTGACTTTATGGTCATAAATTTGAAAGCTGACTTCATATTCAAAAATTAAAGACTGGCTTCATATTCTAAATTTTGTAGGCTGACTTTATCATCTTAAATGTTGACTGACTTAATCTAAAATGTGAAGGCTGACTTCATCTAAAATGTGAAGGCTGACTCATTGCATTTTGGCCACACTTTTCACATCAAAACTACATTGCTATAAATATGTGATATCAACAAGAAAAAAAAGGTGAAAATTTGATGTAGGTCAATAGATATTTGAATAAATTTGAATAAAAAAGTTGAGTTTAGGGTTACTTATGGTGTTAAATGAATTAATTTGTTTTTTGTGAAATGTGGTTTTCATATTTAATTGTAAATATTACAACTCAAAAAAAACATTGTATTTTAAAACAGAAGAAATAAATTTTAACTTGTTTATAATCAAGTGTCAAGTTATTTGTAGATCATGATGTGGATCAAAATGGCAAGCAGGTAGCATGAATATTTATGTTATGCATGATAGAAACCTTATTATTCTCATTAATATTCAAATTCATATTCCATTGTCCTGATGGATCGTTTGGTTGGTTATCAACTGATGTAGAGTCTGGATGTGGTGTATTTGAATGGGTTAAAACCCCTCTCACCTTCCAAGGTGACCTGAAACACCCATTCACAAGATTTAATTAATCTGACTCTGAAACCATCTTCACATTGGTAAAGTATTATGAACTTTGTCTTATACCTTGACTACAATAGTCACTATTTTTGTATCACTGAAGTTTGTAAATGCAGTGATTTGATTGGATCGGATGCTAGAGAATACAGTCAATCAGAGGCCTCACCAAAAAGTCTGTAAACATTTAGCCATAACATTCTTTCTGTTGAGAGCTCTGATTGTCTGTAATCGCTGGCGTACAATCCAATCAAATTGCTGCATTCCATGACTTAAAAACAAAGGCTTTTGTAGTCAAGGTATAAGACAAAGTTTGTAATACCTTGACCAGTGTTAACATGATTCTACACAAGCCTAAGAGTCAACTAGTTTCAGACTACATCCCCATCAATATATATAGTTGAGGCATACCATGCAGGTTCCATATTACTATTGATAACCTAGTCATGTTCCTTAACATATAATGAAAATATAAACTTGCAAATGAGTAATTATACCAGTCATTCCTTCATCCATCAATGATAATTTTTGGTCAGCCAGCAGTCATAACAAAACAACTGTAACTGTTTCCTGTACAGAGTTTTGGGATTTTGCAATTGAAAGGCTTGTCACTTTGTCCTCATAATATTAATTGATTTGCATCCTAGCATCTTGTTGCATGTTGAAAAAAATAACATTAATTAAAGTATCTTGAAGTCAACGCACTTATAATTCTGCCAAAAACAGGTTTGAGTTGAGACTCTTAATTTTGTTCACAGCGTGACATTTGTATCTTCTGGTCTGACTTGAGTCATGACTGGCAAATACAACCAGACCAACAGTTCTGATCAATAAGCTCAAAGTCTATTCTGGGGATGATAAAGATAAAGTCAAGCAAAGACATCTGAACACATCTGGGTTGGATTCAAATATATAAACACAAGCAGTCCACTTTTGATTTTGAGGTAGTTTAAGTAGTAATAAACACAGTGTAAGTTTGGCTTGTATAGCTTCAATTATTATTTATTTTACCTCAAAATATAATGGACTTTTTGTATTTATGTTTTGTTTGGCTCCTAAAAGTGCACCAATATCTTTGATCAACTATAAGTAAAAACATCGAGTTATTCACAATGAAGTTTGGGGTCATTTTCATAGATTAGCTCATTTCCATTATCACCTCTTAGTGTATAGCATATATTTACACTGACCAAGATGATATACTTGATTTAGTTTCAGTAATTTGTTTACCACATCCAACAAACCCAAACGTCCTCTAGCTGTAGCCACAGTGAAATATAATGCTCCAACAACACAAGTACAGCCAGTTGGTGATCCTAATAAGAAATCTAGAGAAAAACTGGGTCAGAAATCTAAAGCTTATGAATTCCTGCAAGAAGAAGCGTAAGTATAATGTACATTGAATTCTTGTACTTGCTTGTAGTTTGGCATATCATAATTGAATATATCCAGAGAAGACCTAAACATTAATATCTTGCCACCATTTTGTTTTATCCGAATATTGTTGTAAAGCATTTGATTACAAGTGCCAGACTATGATTACAAATTAAGAACATTTAGATTTAGCTCAGCTCAACTCAGTTTGATACTAAATGCTTTGAAGACTAATGTTCTACTTCAGTTGTGAATAGGTAAAAAAAACGCTTGTCATTTTGACAGGTCAATAGATAAAACTGCTAGAGGTTGTGCATGTGAAAGATTCATGATCTTAGAAGGGCTAAAAGGTGTATCTTATGCAGCTGATCTTGCAAAATTTCCTTTATTGCACACAGCATGGGATTTGATGTCTTTGTCAAAGCAGATACAGAAAAGAAGAAATTTTAAGTTCATTTCATTTGATCAGCCCTAGGTCAGGTTCTTTTGAATCAGCTCAGAAATGATATTCTACAATCTTCACAAAATCAAATACAAATTATTTTAGTATATCAGAGAAGGCTAAAAAAGAAAGAGAAAAGGAAAGAAGGGAACAGTATAAAGCAGTAAGAGCTCATGTTAAAAAAGATGATGGAAGAATGCAGGCTTATGGATGGAGTTTACCTGCTAAATTTGCACCAAGTACTCGTGAACCAGCATCATCTAAAAACCATATACCTGTACCAGTACCTGTTTATTGTAGACCTCTTACTGATACAGATACTGAAGTCAAGGTACAGTACCTGTTTATTGTAGACCTCTTACTGATACAAATACTTAAGTCAAGGTACAGTACCTGTTTATTGTAGACCTCTTACTGATACAGATACTGAAGTCAAGGTACAGTACCTGTTTATTGTAGACCTCTTACTGATACAGATACTGAAGTCAAGGTACAGTACCTGTTTATTGTAGACCTCTTACTGATAAAAATACTTAAGTCAAGGTACAGTACCTGTTTATTGTAGACCTCTTACTGATACAGATACTTAAGTCAAGGTACAGTACCTGTTTATTGTAGACCTCTTACTGATACAGATACTGAAGTCAAGGTACAGTACCTGTTTATTGTAGACCTATTACTGATACAGATACTGAAGTCAAGGTACAGTACCTGTTTATTGTAGACCTCTTACTGATACAGATACTGAAGTCAAGGTACAGTACCTGTTTATTGTAGACCTCTTACTGATACAGATACTGAAGTCAAGGTACAGTACCTGTTTATTGTAGACCTCTTACTGATACAGATACTGAAGTCAAAGTACAGTACCTGTTTACTGTAGACCTCTTACTGATACAGATACTGAAGTCAAGGTATTGTAGACCTCCTGAAAGTAATCTTGCACACATTATATTGTTGAATTGTAGAAGAACTGAAGATCAAATTTTAATTCTGAAAAATGATATGGTAATTGAAATAGAGCTTTATCAGCTGTTACAGCAAATATACACATTGCTGTGTCCTTTTATACTGTTATATCGCTCAAATTGTAAGGAGAGACCTTAAATCTCTGATCAGGATTTTGGTAGGTAAGGATGATCAGATGAAGAACATGTTGATTTTTCTAATTATAGATCTGGTGTGCAGCAGGTGTTAATCTAACTGGTGGTAGAACTAGAGATGGTGGATCTATTGTAGGATCTAGTAGTATCTTCTATTCTAATCCACCAGAAGAAACTACAGATGAAAATAAAGAGAGTAAAGATGAAGTAGAAAAACTTGATAAAGAACTTAAGGTAAGCTTAGTAATGTATTAGAAACAAACTTTTAAAGATAGATCACTCAAATAACTTGCTGAATTTGCATGGTTATCTTTGTTACTGACTGAATTTGAAAATTTTGTATTTTGTATTTATTGTAAAATGACTTATTTTTCAAGAGAAAATTTATGTAGTGGGCAAGATTTTCCAGCCTAATTCTTCATCTGTTGGTTTACTCAGAGGGTCTTCATCATACCTCTAAACAGTAGATGCAAAATGTTACAGGTTCTATGCCACTCTAATGGAATAAAAATCATACTTTTTCATTTTCCAGGACCACAAGGATAACTCAAAAGATGATGAACAACTGTCCTCATTTGTATGGATCTGTACCAGTACATTATCTACTAGTCATATATCAGTTATTGATGCCAATAATCCTGCAGATGTTCTTGAGACTTTCAGAGTTTCTTCATCTCATATACTTTGCATTTCTAGTGTCCCAGGTAATTATTTTTAATGAAATGAACTTACCAATCAAAATGTTATTAAAACTTTTTCAATCAACATAATTTACTTATTAATAAAACAGAATTTTTCCAACCAACATATGTTGACTTATAAATCCAAACAAATTTTTTATATCAACATATTTTGATGTAAAAGTCTAAACTAGAATTATTCTAATTAACATATGTTAACTTTTAAATTATAAATCAAAACATAATACTTTAGATTGAACACGTTGAATTATAAATCAAAACATAATACTTTAGATTGAACATGTTGAATTATAAATCAAAACATAATACTTTAGATTGAACACGTTGAATTATAAATCAAAACATAATACTTTAGATTGAACATGTTGAATTATAAACCAAAACATAATACTTTAGATTGAACATGTTGAATTATAAATCAAAACATAATACTTTAGATTGAACATGTTGAATTATAAATCAAAACATAATACTTTAGATTGAACATGTTGAATTATAAATCAAAACATAATACTTTAGATTGAACATGTTGAATTATAAATCAAAACATAATACTTTAGATTGAACATGTTGAATTATAAATCAAAACATAATACTTTAGATCGAACATGTTGAATTATAAATCAAAACATAATACTTTAGATTGAACACGTTGAATTATAAATCAAAACATATTACTTTAGATCGAACATGTTGAATTATAAATCAAAACATAATACTTTAGATCGAACATGTTGAATTATAAATCAAAACATATTACTTTAGATTGAACATGTTGAATTATAAATCAAAACATAATACATTGAACATGTTGAATTATAAATCAAAACATAATACTTTAGATCAACATGTTGACAATTAAATCAAAACATAATTCTCTAAATCAACATATTGACACTTAAATCAAAACTGGATATTTTATATAAAAGTATTTGCTATTAAAATAACAGTATACCCTTACATTAATACTTGTTTGATTTCAAGCAGGACGATTTTTGTATTCATATTTATATCTTTGTCATCCAGGTGCTCTGATATCTGATTATCCAGTAGCTGAAGAAATCCTCAAGGCAGAAGCCCCGTTATTACCTAAAGAAACAGTTATTAGTAGTGGTAATAAGGAGACTAATGGTGATTCCTCAGAAAGTTCTGGAATTGGTGGTATAACATTTGTACAATGTTCTACTGGTACATCTAGTAGAGAGACATCGCCTACAGGCTCTCCACATTCTGGTTGGTTTACCTCTTGATTTCCATTTTCACATTGAAATATGAAAATCCCTGTACAATAAAATTTGCCCACCTCCAAACCCAATGAAATGATAATCTTTTTTTAATTTTTAAACTTTCTTGACAAGTCATAAAAAGATATGTTTTGAAGGAGAGTTGCACCTTTTGAAATATGGCTGTCTCTTTCTTTATTAGTAGTAATTCATATAAGGCTAAAGAAATATTTTTGTAATATTGTAGTTTCAAAGACTGATGGTGAAACTCTTGTTGATGGAGCAGGTAAGGCTTTTTTCATGCAATATGTACTCTTTGGAATCAAAATTTTACAAAAGGAAAATTGTCTTTCATAAAAAATTGAGTGTCCCTCAAATTATCTGCAATTTTAAAAGTCTACATAGATAGATGTTAGATAGATGAACAGATGTTGCCAATGGAATAGAAACAGTTTGTGTGGATAGATGTTGCCAATGGAATAGAAACAGTTTGTGTGGATAGATGTTTCTAATGGAAGAGAAATGGTTAGTGTGGATAGATGTTGCCAATGGAATAGAGACAGTTTGTGTGGATAGATGTTGCCAATGGAAGAGAAATAGTTTGTGTGGATAGATGTTGCCAATGGAATAGAAACAGTTTGTGTAGATAGATGTTGCCAATGGAAGAGAAAAAGTTTGTGTGGATAGATGTTGCCAATGGAATAGAACAGTTTGTGTGGATAGATGTTGCCGATGGAAGAGAAACAGTTTGTGTGGATAGATGTTGCCAATGGAATAGAACAGTTTGTGTGGATAGATGTTGCCAATGGAATAGAACAGTTTGTGTGGATAGATGTTACCAATGGAAGAGAAACAGTCTGTTGTAAAAGCAATCATTGCATCTGTTTTTGATGAAACTGAGCACATTTATCTCATTTTTCACTACTGTTTTGGGAACAATGTATCTTTGCCCTGAAAGCCATCTTTGAAATGTGAAATCAAATTTTTATTTTCAGAAAAAGACGATGATTCTAAAGAGAAGAGTGATGAAAGTGAAAAAAGCAGCCTAGGTAATGATAAACTTTCTCCATTCAACGTATAACGGATAGAGCTCTAACTCTGAAAGCATTAGCTATCACCAGCTGCACATGTTTGCTAATAGATAAGAATACAGTCCTAAGTTTTGAACACAACTCTCATGTTACTGGAACTAATGACCACTTTTATTATTGGCAACCATACACAATAGGTAATGACTATGGTGTGAGGACTCCTTTACATGAGAAATTTTAAGCCCATAAACTTGAAATTCTATATTGTAGATCCACTAGGAGTTAGTAGTGAAGATGATAAACCAACTGTATTTAGAGCTACAGGATCACCACCATCTTCTCGTAACACCAGTCCTACTTCACCAGCTGGACCAGTAGAGAATGTGTCCAATGATTCTGGAGTAGGTAAAGATGGTGATAGTGGTATTAGTAGTGATGAACAGTACACTGATCTAGATAAAATGAGCAGTGTACTACCTACTATGTGGCTTGGATCTCAAACTGGAAGGTATGCATTCTTTAAGGGTTTCTTCATTTTATTCATTTATTAAACTATTATTAAGTTTTGAAGGGAGCCACGGTGGCTCAGTGAGTTAGACGCTTGCTCACTAACTTGAAAGGTCAAAGGTTCAATTCTGGCATAGGTTGAGATAATGCCTCAGATTTTTCAACCCAGCTTCCCCATGTCAGTGATGCTGACATGAAAAAAGCATCTAGTCGTGCAGATGAGACAATAAACCGAGGCCCCATGTGCTACATGTTAAAGATCCCTCTACAGTTTGAAATTAAAAAAAGAGCAGGCTAATTCCGCTGTCCTGGCAAAATTTCCGTCATTGCACCCTTCATGGCGTTGCCCAAGTCTTCATTAGCCCTTAAGGTGCAGAAAAGGAGGACGTAAAGCCATTTATTTCATTTTCATTTTTGTCTGAGAAGCTTAGAGAATCCATATACACTTCAAAAAATACAACCGTATGATTCTAGAACACCTCTTGCCACTTCCCAACTGGATTTGTCAATTCAACATTGTATTAGCTGTTGTTAATTTGGTATTACAGTATATCAAAAAAGATCCTAAAATATGTGTGTAATAAAAGTTTTTGCTGTAAGATCTTCAAACAACTGGATTATAACTGTTTTATGACTACAGTAAACTCTTATTTACTGGATTATATTGTTGTTTATTGTAGTTTATATGTACATTCATCAGTAGCACAATGGAAGAGATGTTTACATTCCGTTAAATTACGGGATTCTATACTCAGTATTGTGTAAGTATACTCAGATATTTTGAATAGCGCTGGCTCAGATAATATACAAAAAAATGTGCCTGATATTGAAGGAGTTTCTCTTTGAGAAAATTGTATGACAACACAAGTTCCTCTGTGGTGTTTGGTACTGCAAGAATATAAGTTAGAAGGTATACACATCAAGGGTGAACTTGAGCTGAGATATCAGTTGGCCCAAAGTCTTTGAATAATATGGTGTTCAACTTAACCCTTTGAACCCTGAGTGTAAATGAAATATAACCTCACATACCCTGAACTCCAAGTAATAAAAGTAAAAGCGTATGACGTCACTTAGTAACGGGTATATATTGCATTAGTGTGTGGCCAGTGAAGCGGCCGCTATGGTTGAAAGGGCTAAATAGTACTTTAGTGGTGTCCATCCTTCTGGGACACCTGATTCCACTCTGCAACTGGGTTTGTTGACTTAGTATTAATTTTGGAGAGTCCACATTCACCATCAGATAGTTGTAATTTCTGTTAAGAGCTGTATATTATGTTTTGTAGTCATGTAAAAGGAAGAGTTATGGTAGCACTAGCTGATGGTACAGTTGCAATATTTCATAGATCTTCTGGTTAGTATTCTTATCTTTTCAATAATGTCTAACAAACACCCTCGAAACACTTTCTCAAAATTGATAGTAATTAGGGTAGCATGGGGAAGACTAACTAAAGAGATAAATACAATAGGTACAATGTCTGGTGTGTTGCTAAGCTGGAAGGCAAAATGGGGTACCTTTATGTTCTACTTCACCAAACGTTTCTGGACCAAACGCTGCATCAGACACTGTACCTATCTGTAAATTCCCTGTCAGTACATCAAGTTGTGAGGCCCTTTGACCTGTATGCTCAATCAGTGAGTGCCCTTGACTGTTATCAATCAAATAAGAATAGGCCAAAGCTGCTTTCCTGGCAAAATTTTCATTATTGCACACTGCATGGTATTGCAAGTCTTCATCAGTCAAATGAAGAGCCAAAAAGTAAGTTTTAAGATTCCATTTCATATATACCTAATGAACAAATTTCTGTTTCAGATGGTCAGTGGGATCTAGAGAACTATCATCTCTTAGATTTAGGTAGACCTCATCATTCTATAAGATGTATGACTGTTATAGCAAACAAACATGTCTGGTGTGGATATAAAAATAGAATCCATATTATCAATCCTGAAGATATGTCTATAGAGGTAAGGTTCTCGAATTATCTGGTTTGTAGGCCCACATTACACTGCAATATGGTTTTAACAATGGTTTACTGTGTATGCTGTATTAGTGACCTTCACCTTTTCAAGCAGAATTTCTTCATTATTCATTGCCATTGTTGATGACATTTGGATGTCTGCTTGGACTAATTTCAACTTCTTTAAGGAGAGTTCCACAGATAAGCCTGCCGAGAACAATTACAGAACCATTCTCAGATCACTTCAAGTTACTGTACAGTAACATAACATAATGAAAATAAGAACATTTTATCTTGACCCTGTCTGTACAGAGCTCAGAAAGCTTAATATTGGCCTGGCGTGAAAGGGGCTATTGTTTGTCCAATACGATTTAAAATCAGCTTGTGATATGTTATGTTTTTCTATGATTTTGGGTTTCAAGCCATGCTTCAAGATTAAAATTCTGATAGGCCATTGTTTCAAGGATTATAAATTCAAATTGTGGAAAGTGGAAAATTTCATGAAACACAATGATTAACTCAATTAGTCATTAAGATAGCTTTGAAGAATGTTGAAGGTCATGAAACAGCCCCGCAGTAAATGCAGATTGTCATTGTCCAAAGTAATAAAGGCATAGTTGAGTAAAGAAATATATCGTGTGTGACCGCTTGAAACCTTGTATAACGATATCTGACGCAGAATTACTTTTCGAGAAAAACGCAAAAAACTATTTGTACACGTATTTTGTTAAAATCTTTTTTATTGTTTTTTTTACCTCTATACGTGATTTTCATTCTTGGAAAATATAAACCTCTTATAACAATTCGAGATCACCTGAACCAATAACTCGTATAATAATACAATATACGAGGTTTTTCATCTTCATACGCAGAGAAGGAACATTGAACCTTGTATAATATATTTTACGAGGTTTTAAACTGACTGTTTATATACGTGTTATTTAATTAGTGCTTTTTGAGTTATTTATTTTCAAGCTAAGAATACGAGGATTTGATCACAAGATTCGCACTTTTGCGAACTTTCGAACAGTACCAAAAAGTCAAAATGACCAAATATGGCATATACGAGGTTTCAAGCGTCACCCACGATATGCACATTGAGGACAATTTGAATCATAAACAAAAGTAGTCCTCCTCTTTAGGTAGAATAAATAGGAAGATATATACTTGATATATGATGTTGATACTCCTGGTATCACTACTCCAAGCGTCTCATGCAATATTGAAAACCACGTGTGCGGTTCGACTTTTAATACATTCTATTTGGTTTACTGTTTTGTTTGGAGTACTAACTATTAAGTACCACACCAATTGCAACAAATAATTCATAGTATTTTTAAATTTGACCCTTTTTGACCTACGTTGTATACTTCGCTGTGAGATTCCCCGTGGAATCTGATGTTTATAAACAAGATGACCTCAGTGGGAGTTCCTATAGCTTACACTGGTCAACTTGAATATGTTACTTGATTTGTTGTCAAACAAGGTAATAACAGAAATTATAGCCCATGGGTGTTTGGACAGGTTTCAAAATATGGTTTAATGGTAATTCATTGTCATTTATGCTGTTTTTAGCTGTCACTGCAGCTTTGAATTCGCTAAGTGAGATTATAAAAACAAAAATGGCCACTCAATTCTTCATGTTGATTAGAGTAGGAAAAAGTATGTCGACCGTATTCAACGTATATGGACCAGATTTTCTTTGTATCGGTATAAATTTTGTTACTGTTTATTCTACCTAAAAAAAAGGGGGGATTGTTTGTGTTGATGTTTTAAAATGTTCACAGTGCTTCATGGTATATTTTGAAATATTTTTGCTGGGTCAAACCAAATTTAGAATATCCTTCTTCAGCTAAGATTAGATTATTGTCTCCCTTTGTCCAAAAAAGAAATAGAAAGACAGCATTGAACATTTCTTTATTTTGTCAGATCCCTATCAAAGATTTTTATTTTATTTTTTTGTAGAAAAGTTTTGATGCTCATCCACGTAAAGAAAGTCAAGTAAGACAGTTAGCCTGGGTAGGAGATGGTGTATGGGTTTCTATTAGATTAGATAGTACATTACGATTATATCATGCTTATACTCATCAACATTTACAAGATGTAGATATTGAACCCTATGTTAGCAAGATGTTGGGTAAGTCTTCTGTTTTTAGTTTCAAGTATTCTTAAGGTGCAGGCACACGAGAGGGGTTGTTTGGAGATTTTTGTCGTCAATTTTCGTGATGATCGGATAATTTTTCACAGAAATATCGTGTCTGACTTGACGTTTCACTCTATTAGCTATATTGTACAATTGTTCAATCATTTCTGACAGCTGCCAGTGGGCGTATGTTACCTTGTCTGGCAAGCTATCTTTAAATTTATCATGAAAATTGGTGTGGCACAATGAAAAGAAATTGTTCAAATTGAATTGACATGGAGTATTTATTTGAAAAAAATCAAGTACATGTATATGGAACTTTGTAGGCAATCGAAAGCAAAAGTCTGATACAAAACACCAAGGTAAAACTATGATAACTCCTATATGTGTGTACCTTGGTGATGGGTGATGTTAACACTTTCAAGCCAGATTTCCTGTTTAGCTTGAAAATATGTCTTTGAAACTTCAAAAATTTTTGAATGACCATACTCAAACAGCCCTTAAATTTTACCTTGTAAAAATGTACTTACTTTCTGGAAATATCACAGGGTTCCTCGTTTTCATCCTTTTCCTACATATAGTCCCAGTTGAATACCTGGTTAAGCTTCACGCTTAAAAGAACCACACAAATTAGGGTACCTATTGTGTTCTATCTTATCCGTACCGGTGTTAGCAGCCATAGAGGACATGCATCGTGACAATGCAAATAGCCAGTGCAATAAAAAAAAGGAAATAATTTTCAAAGAATTCACAAGTGGTCATTAATATAATTTACCAGATTTTCCCAAAAAATAGTTCCTCCTTTACTTTGTAAGGAATATATAAGTTCAATATAACAAAATATTAATTCAAAATATGTGGTATGTTATTGCAGGAACTGGAAGACTTGGCTTCTCGTTTGTACGTATTACAGCAGTACTAATATCTAGTAATAGATTATGGATTGGTACCGGTAATGGTGTCATAGTTTCTGTACCATTGTCTGAAAGTAAGTTTGAGGTCCTTTGTACTCTATTGAGCTACATAACTCATAGTGAACATTACAGTTAAAGCTTTAGGCTCATCCCTATACTTCCATTTGGTATAAAATTAAAGTTTGCATCCAACTATTCTGTAAATTATTGGCTTATGGTCACCATCAGGGACAGATTGAACAGTTATTAGCCCTCAGACCAATGTGTTTCGTACACCCCCTTAGGGCCCCTATCCAATGCCCAACTGATTGTGAGAATAATACTTCTCAGCCAGACAAATGAGACAAGCTTTATTTAATTTTCTCATTAGATTTATTGTATGATAGTTTTACCGTAGATAAATTCGAAAAAGCAAAAGAAAATATATTTTTCAATCCTTAGTATACTGAATTGGATTCATTTCATATTTTTCAAATGAACAAATGAATGGAGTTTTATGTCCTACTTTTCTGAACTATATAGTCTAATGAACACGGGCAATGTCATGCAGGGTGCAACGAGGGAAATTTTGCCAGGACAGCGGCATTAACCTGCTCTTCTTCGATTTTTCAAGGTAACAAGCAGCAAATAACCACATCAGTAGCTGGTCGTCCTGGAGGTATAGTTAGAGTTTATAATGATAGTAAAACAGATAGTGTTACACCAGGCAGTTTTACACCTTATTGTTCTATGGCCCAGGCACAGTTATCTTTCCATGGTCATAAAGATGCTGTCAAATTCTTTGTTGCTGTACCTGGTAAGTTTATTCTTTCTTTTATTTCAAATTTCAGATATATTGTGATCCTTTAGGTTTTTTTATGAAGGGGGAAGGAGGGGCAGGATTTGCATTCATTTTGAAAAATGTACATTTACTAAATTGAAAATATAAAACAGTAAAGGGCTTTACACCTTTAAATATGCTCATCTTAATATTGATAAGTTTTAAATACAATTCATTATACTGAGTTGTATTCCTTAATCAACTGATTACTGAGTAGTTTTCAATACAACTCACTATCAATTTTATTATCTGAGTTGTATTCTTTAATAAAATGATTGCTGAGTTGTATTCCTTAATCAACTGATTACTGAGTTATATTCTTTAATCAACTGATTACTGAGTAGTTTTCAATACAACTCACTATCAATTTTATTATCTGAGTTGTATTCTTTAATAAAATGATTACTGAGTTGTATTCTTTAATCAACTGATTACTAAGTAATATTCTTTAATCAACTGATTACTGAGTAGTTTTCAATACAACTCACTATCAATTTTATTATCTGAGTTGTATTCTTTAATAAAATGATTGCTGAAATGTATTCCTTAATCAACTGATTACTGAGTTATATTCTTTAATCAAATGATTACTAAGTAATATTCTTTAATCAACTGATTACTGAGTAGTTTTCAATACAACTCACTATCAATTTTATTATCTGAGTTGTATTCTTTAATAAAATGATTACTGAGTTGTATTCTTTAATCAACTGATTACTAAGTAATATTCTTTAATCAACTGATTACTGAGTAGTTTTCAATACAACTCACTATCAATTTTATTATCTGAGTAGTTTTCAATACAACTTACTATCAATTTTCTTATAGATCATTGGTAGATTTAGATTACTGGATTGTATTCCTTAATCAACTGATTACTGAGTAGTTTTCAATACAACTCACTATCAATTTTATTATCTGAGTTGTATTCTTTAATAAAATGATTACTGAGTTGTATTCTTTAATCAAATAATTACTAAGTAATATTCTTTAATCAACTGATTACTGAGTAGTTTTCAATACAACTCACTATCAATTTTATTATCAGATTTGTATCTTTAATAAAATGATTACTGAGTTGTATTCTTTAATCAAATAATTACTAAGTAATATTCTTTAATCAACTGATTACTGAGTAGTTTTCAATACAACTCACTATCAATTTTATTATCTGAGTTGTATTCTTTAATAAAATGATTACTGAGTTGTATTCCTTAATCAACTGATTACTGAGTTATATTCTTTAATCAACTGATTAGTGAGTAGTTTTCAATACAACTCACTATCAATTTTATTATCTGAGTTGTATTCTTTAATAAAATGATTACTGAGTTGTATTCTTTAATCAACTGATTACTAAGTAATATTCTTTAATCAACTGATTACTGAGTAGTTTTCAATACAACTCACTATCAATTTTATTATCTCAGTTGTATTCTTTAATAAAATGATTACTGAGTTGTATTCCTTAATCAACTGATTACTGAGTTGTATTCTTTAATCAACTGATTAGTGAGTAGTTTTCAGTACAACTCACTATCAATTTTATTATCTGAGTAGTTTTCAATACAACTTACTATCAATTTTCTTATAGATCATTGGTAGATTTAGATTACTGGATTGTATTCTTTAATCAACTGATTACCCTGAGTAGCTTTCAATACAACTCACTATCAATTTTATTATAGATCATTGGTAGATTTAGATTACTGAATGATTCTTTAATCAACTGATTACTGAGTTGTATTCTTTAATCAACTGATTACCCTGAGTAATTTTCAATACAACTCACTATCAATTTTCTTATAGATCATTGGTAGATTTAGATTACTGAGTTGTATTCTTTAATTAACTGATTACTGAGTAGTTTTCAATACAACTTACTATCAATTTTATTATCATTGATAGATTTAGATTACTGAGTTGTATTCTTTAATTAACTGATTACCCTGAGTAGTTTTCAATACAACTTACTATCAATTTTCTTATAGATCATTGGTAGACTTAGATTACTGAATTGTATTCTTTAATCAACTGATTACCCTGAGTAGCTTTCAATACAACTCACTATCAATTTTATTATAGATCATTGGTAGATTTAGATTGCTGAGTCGGATTCTTTAATCAACTGATTACTGAGTTGTATTCTTTAATTAACTGATTACCCTGAGTAGTTTTCAATACAACTCACTATCAATTTTCTTATAGATCATTGGTAGATTTAGATTACTGAGTCGGATTCTTTAATCAACTGATTACTGAGTAGTTTTTAATACAACTCACTGTCAATTTTCTTATAGATCATTGGTAGATTTAGATTACTGAGTTGTATTCTTTAATCAACTGATTACCCTGAGTAGTTTTCAATACAACTCACTATCAATTTTCTTATAGATCATTGGTAGATTTAGATTACTGAGTTGTATTCTTTAATCAACTGATTACTGAGTTGTATTCTTTAATTAACTGATTACCCTGAGTAGTTTTCAATACAACTCACTATCAATTTTCTTATAGATCATTGGTAGATTTAGATTACTGAGTTGTATTCTTTAATCAACTGATTACTGAGTTGTATTCTTTAATCAACTGATTACCCTGAGTAGTTTTCAATACAACTAACTAACAATTTTCGTATCATCCAGCTGAGCAGTATTCTTTAAAGTAGAAATACCTGTCTTGTAGGACTCAAGAATCAAACATTGAAATAGTTTAAAACATGAACAAAAATTGAATTTTTATGAATACAAATATGCAGTATAAAAAATGAGTTTAGAATATTTTTTCATTAAATTTAAGACTTTTTGAATTGAATACGCCTCAATATTCAGTTATATAATCAATCAATAATAAAAGAGAACTATTATAGTAGAAAGATAGACTAGAGTGTTTTCTCTATTATATCTTAGTAACTAACACCAGTCTAATAATTAATAAAACGCCCAGGATAAAGAAATTATATAATCAATAATTGTAATAGGTACAAAAACATTCTGAATTCTTTCATTATTGGAAATGTCAGAACAATTTGCCTCGCTTTAAACTTGAAAATTATAGTTGACAAGGAACGAAGGACAAATTAAAGACACTGCATTTTCAGCTCTATAACTATAACGTTGCACTAACCATCACTGAAGCAGGACATTCTGTCACTCTGCTACTGGGATTGTCAACTCATCATCCCTTTTCACTGAAATATTTGAAATTTTGGGTAGATGCAAGGTATGCTAACTCTGATACCACTTTTCATTATGAAATACTTATCACTTATGGTTGATACACTTCCTTATGTGAAAAGTTCATTAGCTGCTACCAGTTTTACGCCAAAATGTTTTTTTGATTTCTGGTTTTATTTTGCAGTTCGGATTGTTAGTACTTGGTTTATTTATTTATATATTTTATTAAACAAAAGATAATATTAAATAGTATCAATGAAATTGAAATGGCAAACAAATGTGATTTCTGCATTTGTCACCGTTTTGCTGACTCAGTACCGGTAACTAAAACAGATGTTATTATGACTTAATTCTGCTTAATGAAAAGAATTCATTGATTTATTTTACTTCATTATTTCACACAAAGACTCAATTATTTCTGATCATATTTCATAAAATTATGGTGGTTATACACAAATTTGAGAGAGTTCTTTGATCACCTGGACCCATTGGTTACAGGGCACACAACAGTCTTGGTTGCCAATTTTTGTTGCCGACTTGAATGTTGAGTAAAATCTCGCGTGTGCTCGCACTTCCAGGACAAGATTATCACGTTACCGATTGAATTTATACTATCAAATAAGATTGATATTTGCCGCCGATTATTTTATCGTCTGTAAGTAAGAAAGCTGGCAAGTGAAAATCAAGACTGTTTATGTGCCGGCTCCTTTTGGTTTCATAAAATAATTTGAAGGAAAATATTTTCAGGCATATAATTTAAATTGAACCATCTTGGCCTCAAGTCATCATTAAATCTCTCTACGACCCTTAGCTTCCACACACTTTAAGCTGATTAACTTTCAGTCTAATTAAAATTCCTAGACAAAATTTGTCAATGTGACAGTAGACATCTGTATCGTTAAGGGGAAAATTGAAGACCGATTTACACTTTATCATTGGAATGATAAGTTTCTTGATCAGTTTAACAGCTTGTTTAAAACAAGAGACAAAACACAATGGTAGCACTTGATTGGAGATTTCTGAACAGGTTCCAATTCAAGTGAATTGTACGGAAGCGGGATAGGTCAAAATTTCCTCATCTATTTCCATCTCCGCCATTTTGAATTCTGTCTGCATCTACTATATTTTTGGCACATGTAGAATGCAATCTGAACTCTGTTTTAACTTAACGTCCGGTTGATTCTGAATCCCGAAAATGTAGAACTCACCAATCAAGGGACCCCAGAGTGTGTTCTTGTAGCTGGTTGATGGTAAAATATCCCAGGAAAAATTTACTTCCATGCACATGGCATGGCAAAACTCCATTTTATTTTAACTTAAAGATGGATAACTGTTTAAAAACTGCCTTTTGTTGTATTTTGTTATGCTTTTAGAATAAGTATAGTGCAGAAATAATTTACCCGTTTTTGCCGCAATTGTTCAGAATTTTATGTATGTGAAATTTTATACGCCCACATGAAATGGGGGGCGTATATTGCCCTCACCTCTTTCCGTCCGTCCGTCCGTCCACAATTGCTCGTAAACACTCTACAAGGCACAATTTTTGACTGATTTCGACGAAACTTGGTATGGTTGTTTGTAATCACCAAAGAATGAACTCTATTGAAAATCAGACGAATTGAAAAATATTTACTATGAGTTATTGCCCTTGTTCTTGAAACGCTTGTAAACATTCTAGAAGGTGCAGTTCATGACGGATTTTGATGAAACTTGGTATGAGTGTTCGTTATCGCCCAAGGATAAACCCTATCGGAAATCAGAAAAATTGAAAAATATTTAGTATTAGTTATTGCCCTTGTTCTTGAAAACGTGTTCAATTCAAACACTCTAGGAGGGACAATTCTT